TACCTATTTACCTAACTACTTTAGCACTTAAGCACTTAACCATTCTGAGATCACATTTAACCACCAGAAAACTAATAAGCAAGCAAAAAACCCATCTAGGTACTCACTCCATTGTCTAATCTAATATAGTAAGTTCTTATCTCATTCACCCCTCCCTCCTTCACATCAAAATATCCTCCTCTATCATTTTATTATATTTTATTTTATCTTATTTTAATTATCTTATTGTATCTTAATTATCATTCACTCCTTACTCGCCCTCACTCCCCCTCACACCTCCTTACATCACAATGCTCACATATCCCAAACCAAAAACATTATCTCAACTAAAACTAAAATCCCCAAAAGTTCTCTTGATCTTAATAATATTCATATCCATATTTATATCCATATTTTACATTTACCCACAGAATACATACATACATCCCATACATACATACATACATACAAGCATTTCCCAGCTCATCTCATCTCATCTCATCCGTTAATATACCCCATCCATCCATCCACTCATCCCACCCCCATCCACCTCCCCCTCCCATCCACCTCCCCACCCCCAAAAATTATTACAAAACTACCTACCTACCTAGATAAATACCTACCATATAACCCCATCCCCATCCCTATTCCCAACCCCAACAAACCACATATTAAAAAAACCTTTTACCAAAAAAAGAGACAAGACAACATCACCACAAAAAATAAAAGAAAAAATAAAAAAAGAGAAAATAATTAAATAAGAAATATCCGCGTTTCGTAGGGGTTTGTTGTTCGTAAATATACACAATAGCTTTAAATTCCCTCATTCCCTCATCCCCTCATCCCTTCACTACCTTCCTACCTCTCACCCAAATCCACCAGTCCACCCACACTTAATCTTTATGTCTTTTCTCTCTTTCTCTTTCTCTCTTTCTCTCATTCCATCTTCCATTCCATCTTCCTTTAAACATCCTATTCAAAAACCCCTCCGCCCACCCTAATTTTATCCCTCTCTCCACCTAAAGTATAACTAAAAAAGCCTTCTGTATCGAAAATCTAAAGCCCGAAAATTTGGAGATAGATTTTTTATATTTAATACCAAAAGGGGGTATGAAGACGATACCCAACGCCACAAGGATTTATGATTTGTAAAAAAGAGAAAAGGAAGAGATGAGCGCGATGCTCGTATTCAGACATTGCTGAGAGAATTGTTTGATAAGAGTGCATATGATACAGTGAGATAAGGTGTAAGATTGATTGGCTTGATGTACTTTAGGGTACATGATGTGAAAAAGATATTAAAATAATCCATTCTTCAATTCCATCCCAATGAATTTTCAGCCATCATTGGTGCCGAGATTTGTTGCGTTCGAGCGGAATTTCCTGCACTTCTTCCACTTCCTCCACTGTTTCTATCATGTCCTGCAGTACCAGGAGTCAGACGACCACCAGACATGAAAGCACCACCAGTAAAAGCACTAGATTGTCTCATCTCCGCTGGGTTCATGATAGAGTTTGATCGACGATGGCTAAGCTTACGTTTCTTGTATCTCCGAGCGATAAAGAACATGGCAGCACCATAGGCGGCAGCAGCTCCAGCAGCTCCAACAACAATACCAGCAGTGGTGCTCTTAACCTTTGGAGATGTGTTTTGAGCATCGGTATTGAATACACCACTATTTCCACTAGAAGAACTTGTAGTTGCCGCAGATCCAGAACTATCAGTTCCAGTTCCAGTTCCACCTTCAAGAGTTGAACCAGGTGTCAATGGAATGGAAGGATTGATATAGTTAACAAGTGTATTAATAGATGGATCAGGATTGTTGTAGATAGCTGCAGTTGGAGTATGTAAATCAAGTTGAAGAGTGCTGACCAAATTGGTTGGAATATAAGCGAGGGCTAAAGTTGTGATGAACTTTAATTGGGATTGTGTATTATAAGGAATGAGACTGTGCATGATAACTTGTTCTTTTTTAATTCCTAACCCATCTGCGATACCAACGGGAAGATATTGAAAGATTTGTGCAGATGAAAGTGGATTGGCAACAACAAATGCGTAGTTAAGTTGGAAGAGGAAACCAAGTTGAATCAATGTGGCATTTTCTGGACTTGATGGAATAGAACCACTGGGTGTGATAACCTTTGGTAGAAATGTCGCAAGTGCAGTATTCGTGGGAGTAGCTTGATCTGTGGATGATGATTGAACAATAATGGTTTGTGGAAGCCACATTGACGTTGCATTATTTGTAGCTGTTGGGTAGATAGTGAGGGGAGGAGTTGTCTCAGTAGGTGCTTGGGTTTTTACGATTGCTGTAGTACTTTCGTGAGTTGGAGAGGCAATTATTGTTGGGGTAGCTGAGGAAGATGTAGATGTAATTCGAGCTGTACTGGCTGAACTTCCAGATGTAACAGTTGCTGATGAAGCTGCTGTTGAAGAAATATCAGATACCGTCGTCTTTGGGGTAGTTGTCGCAGAAACAGATGTTCCAATGCTTGAAAGACTTGAAGCTGAACCGGAAGAAGCTGAGGAAGCTAAGATTGAGGTGGCCGTGGAATTGCCTAATCTACTTGTTGCAGAAGTTAGGGATGGAGTTGGTAAAATAATAACTCCTGTTCCTGAACTAGATTTGATTGTAGAAGATCCGGTCTCAACGCTGGTGGAGAAACTAGTTGCAGATAATGGAATAGTCCCATTACCACTCGCACTTGTTGGAAGGAGAGTTCCTGAGATTGTTGATGAAGATCCAAGGCTTATTGAAGTGCTTGATGTGATATCTGTTCCAGAAATGATAGCGGTAGCATTTGAAGCACCGGTAGCACTGGAGACGTGGCCTGTGATCGTGGCTGATGAACCACTGCTAGTACCAGATCCAAGAATACTCGAGATTAAACTGACCAATGGAGTCGAACTAGAAGCAGAAGGTGTAGTAGAACTAGCTGCAGCGGACGAGGGACCTGTTGGAGAGCCAATGACAGAAGTGATACCAGAAATAACAGTTGTCAACAATCCTGTAGCTGATGCACTTCCAGAAGTTATTGTAGCCGAGGCAGATATACCAGTTCCGCTCAAAATTGTTGAGGTAGCTGATCCAATATCTGATGTGACCGATCCAAGAAGAGAACTTACACCAGGAAGAAGACCAGTCGAAGTTGCGGCAGATGACCCGGTAGAACTAATTCCTGTGACTGGGCCTGTAATTCCTGCGGCAGATGACCCGGTAGCAGTAGAACTAATTCCTGTAACTGGGCCTATAATTCCTGCCGAGGATGCTAAAGCACTCAAATCCGTAGCACTAGTGGTTGGTAATAAAGCAGATGTAACCGATCCAAGGTCGGAAGTGATCCCAGATAAAAGACCTGTAGCAGAAGCAGTACCTGAGGCACTAGCACTGCTCAAAGTGCCTGTAGCCGATGCTGAACCACTAACATCTGTTCCAGAAACTGAGGCAGTACTGGTTGGAAGTAAATCAGATGTAACTCCGGACACAAGAGATGGAAGTAAACCAGCTGGAGTCGTAGTTGATGCGGATGCGCTAGAAACACCAGTAGTAGCTCCAATAATACCTGCCGACGATAAGGAAGCCGAGACACTAGCATCTGTGAGGGAAGTTGCAGAAGTTGGAAGAAGATCAGATGTAACTCCGGACACAAGAGACGGAAGTAAACCAGCTGGAGTTGTAGTTGATGCAGATGCACTAGAAACACCAGTAGTAGCTCCAATAATACCTGCCGACGATAAGGAAGCCGAGACACTAGCATCTGTGAGGGAAGTTGCAGAAGTTGGAAGAAGATCAGATGTGGCAGTAGATACCAAAGATGATACGCCACCAATCAAAGATGAAAGTAAGTCACCAGAAGATGAGGTGGCAGCAGATGACTTTGTAGATATACCTGTAGGAGCTCCACTGATTCCAGAGATTGTGCTGGAAGGTGAAGAGATACCAGTTGAGGCACCAGTAATTCCAGCCACACTTGAAGGTGTCGAACTACCCGTAGAAGCAGTTTTTGGTGCTGAAATATCTGATACGCCAGTAGTTGATCCAGTAACTTTGGCAGTTGAGCTTGAGGCTGAAGAATCTGATGGTAAAATAGCAGTTGTGACTTGAGATACTACCGTTCCTACATCTGAGGTCACATCACCAACCAAACTGCTTGCTGCGGTAGCAACAATTCCCAAAAGACCAGTCGAGCTAGTAGTATCAGAAGCAGGGGCAGTGGTAGCTGCTGAGCCTGAGAATGATACTCCAGAAGATGAAGCAGTTGGGACGGATACTGGCGATGCATTTGTATCTGTAGAACTTGCAATGACAGAGCTTGATCCAGATAAAACTCCACCAGGTCCAAATGTAATTCCACTAGTAGATGATGAAGCAGCAGCTGAAGTTTTTGATGCGCTTTGAGAACTAGATCCTGAAGTTATAGTGGGAAGAATGACAATAGATGGAATCAAGCCTGTAGAAGCGACAATTGGTTCCAAAAGGTTAGGGCTTGAAGAACTGGTTGCAGATGAGCTAGATGATGGGGATACAATTGTACTTGGGGCTGATCCAGTTCCGGTGGAAGTTGAGGATGATTCAGTTGGGACTACAGAGCTTGTTGAAGATTCCGTGGATTGGGAAGTACTGGAAATAATAGTCGGGGCTTTACCAGTAGGTGCTCCGGAAATGCCTGCAGTGCTTGAACTTTGGATTGGAGTCTCCGTGGAAGTTGGAATTGAGACTGGAATAGTTACTGATGATCCTGATCCAGTGGGTACTCCGGTGATACCTACAACTGAGCCTGAATTCGAAACTGAAGTTTCCGAGGCAATAGATGCCACTGAACTCGAGCTCGATTTTGTGGTTGAAGATTCAGCAGCTTTAGTTTCACTAGATTTTGCCGATGTGCTTGTCGATGATTCAGGAATGGATGCACTTGAGGAACTCGGAGCACTGGTTGCGCTCGAGGCTGTAGATACACCAGTAGAAGCTCCAATTAACCCTAATCCGAGAGACAAATCGATTCCACCGCTAGAACTGCTGGGTTCGGCAACTGACTTTGTGGTGGCTGATGAGAGCCCAACAAGGACATAAGAGCTGGATGATGGTTTGGAAGCGGTCGAGGAACTTGATGCTCCAGTTGGAACTCCGGTAATTCCTTCCGGGGTCGAACTAGAAGTACTAGTAGTTGTAGGAACAGATACAGTTTGGACAGTTCCTGTCGATGCGTCGGAAATCCCAGTTAGTCCAACAGTAGAACTTGATGCAACGCTCAAAACTGAAGTGCTTGTGACAGATGGAATTGACTCGCTCGAAGAAGAAGAAGCTGGCAAGGAAGTTGATTCAACAGATGGAGTCGAAGTCGAAGTCGGGGTCGAGGTCGAAGTTGAAGTCGAAGTGGAACTAAAACTGTAACTGTAACTAGAGCTGGAACTCGTAGATGGTAAAATTGTAGGGGCTTCACTGGATCCAGTTCCTAAACTCGCTGCACTAGTAACCAAAGCAGTTGTTGCATCATTTGAAGATACTGCATCGGTTGGGACTGGTGTACTCGAGGATGTAGTGCTAAAAGTAAAGCTCGTAGATGAACTTGATGAACTCGATGCAGCTGCCGATGTCGTAGTTGTTGGCCCTAAATTAAACATGGATGAAAGTGAATCCAATAAAGTATCGCTTGAAGATGCCCGTTTATTTGTCGTAGTATCCTGAGCCCCATCATCCGATTGCGAACTTATGGTTGAAGAGAATGAAGATGTAATTGTGGAGTCATCATTTGTGTTTGAAGTTTGAGCTGGAACATTGCTCGTAATCGTGTTGTTCGAATAAATTTGTCTTTTGATTTCTCGTGGAAAGTAATATTTTGGTCGATCCCCCTCTGCGGAAGCAAATGAGGAAAGAATGACCACGGAAGCCAAGAATAACGAGGGTGTATGCATAATTGGAAGTTATCTCAATTAAATTCGAATTTATTATTGAGATATTAGTATTTGAAAGTATTGGACGTAAGTTTAGTTCGAGCTGAACATAAATTAGTTGAAGCTCAACGTAAAGAACGACAATGTTGATGGCGTTGGTTAATGGAGAATGGCCGCGGCCATCAAGCTTGAAGATGGAAGATTGAAGACTAACTGTCAGGGCGAATAAGTAATAACGAGTGTAATTGACAATAAATGTCAAAGAGTGTATCTATTGATGATTGCCATTAGTATGTCAACATAGTGAATATCGCATGAATGATCAGCATAAATCTTAATGGGACGAGACTTTGCGAACGAATTGATATCGAATTGGTATCGCAACCCCATTTTTGGGGAAAGGACGGTCATCATTCAAGTCAAACCAACATTTCCCCTCAAACAAACAATTCACTTTTTCGGTGTGAATGAATATCGACTCACTTCTTAAATTAAATTGTACCAGATCGTGTATGTGTGAGTAAAGAGCGAGTCTTAAATGAGTGTCGTGACGAAAAGTCGTCAATTGTTTTTTGGTTGGGTATATCCTCCTTGCACAACTTCGAATCGAAACCAAATCATCTACGAGCGACCATTATCCATAAGCCTCCGGAGGCTATCACAAATTAAAGGCGTTGACAATCTTTCGTTGAGAGAAATTCGTATCAGCAACTTGTACTTCGATTTCGATTTCGATTTCGACTGGTTGGTTGATGTTCCTGATGAGGAGTCGGCGTGAGAGATATAGAGAGAGAGTGGTGAGGTCGGAGGAGGAGGGTGATGGTGATGGTGGAGAAGGAGGAGGTTTGATGGAATGAATGGAAATGAATGAATGGATGAATTGAATGTGGCCTCGATTCGAGAGAACCTTTTGCCTTGGGGCCTTGTGAAGCTTTCAGGGCGAGGATGAGAGGTTTCAGTGGGTACTTTCACGTTGTGGAACGTAGGCGTAGGGACCAGGGAGTAAATTTACTAGAATTATAAAGGTTAGGTAGGGGGAACGTCCGTTGTATAGACCAGGAACCAGAAAATAAATAATAATAAGCCAGGGGGGCCGTGAGATGAAGAGAAACGGGAGAAACTACGGAGTGAGAGGGAAGAGGTGAGAGATAGTGTAATTGTAAAATGCAAGTACGGAGGAGGAGATTGAGCACGAGCACATTTAAAATGGTATTGTCTAACCAACGGTAGAATTGATTTGAGTACAGAGCAGAGGCTATGATGAAGGTGCACAATATATGAAAAGGATGCGATGAGATGACTTAGGATGAGATTCTTATTGTCACTGTAGTTACCATCACACAGCTTTCTTTACAATATGAGATGGCAGGCAAACAAAAGGAAACAATAAGAATATGTCGAGTAGCTGAAACTAAATCCATAAAATCAATCAAATATCAATTATCAATTATACATTTATACATTTACTTATTCGATCGTTCATATTTTGATCTTTGATCTATTCACAATTTCCTTTCCTCTCTCTTCTCCCTCTCTTTCCTACCAAGCCACAAGAAAATCATCACCTTTTCAGCCTTTTTTCCTTACCCCGTGTTACTCTCGCCTAAATCCAAGTCCAGTAAATTGACTCTTTTAGACTCAGATCATCCAATAGTATCTGTCAATTCACAGCTAGCGTGTTTTAAATAAGTCCTTGATCACACTTTAATATCCGGAATTCATGAATTAGGCTTACGCTGTATTATGAAAACAAGGGGCCGGGATAAAAATGTATATAGAAGAGGCTTTTTTGTTATTACTATTTCTTCCCAATCTGAGCAATCCATGAATTTAAGCAAAATGAATTCATTGAATGCTGGGAGATGGAGAAGGAGAATGTTCGGCAATTGTTTTCAATACATATACTGTAGTACTGTATTACTATACGAGTGGTATTGTAGTACTGTAGTATCAATCAAATAATTTGAATCATTTACAAGGCTGGATGATGGATGACCCAGTAATTGTTTCCTTACGCAAAATGGTTCATGACATGGCATGACATGGCAATTAAGGAATTTGATCGCTGATAGGACAGAAAGCAATTGTTTGAGATGAGAATGTACATTGTACAATTGCCAAAGACTATGAGTTCATCGGAAGAATGATATGCGCAGCTGAGCCACCACTTTTCCAAAATGTGATGAGGACGCGCCAATAATCCAACATTTGGTGAAAGTCTCCTGCTTTATGCATGGACAGCGGCTTTGCATTATCTGCCGAATTTATCCCTTCGTTCTAACGAGAACGAACGAACGAACTTCAATATCTTCATTTGCCTCAACCAATATGTCGGTACCGGTACATGACAATAAACATACTTTGCAACAGATACGTTTACTAGCCATCAGTCCATCGTTACAAATTCACGAATAAACATCTGAACAACGCCAATAATCAAAGGTTGATAAGGTCTAGCTGCAACAAACTACGGAGTCAGAACAATCTTAGACAAACCGAACGCTCAGGTCCCTGAATAAAAGATTATATCGTAGATCGTTTTAGAGCAAGACCCTTCTCAAATGAGAAGATGTCTCCCCACACACACACATCATCACATACCCACGAGAATCCACAATCCACTCTTTTTCATCCACTCTTCGCACTACTCTGCTGCAGTGCTGCACAGCTGCACTTTGCTGCAGTTGGTCATGTTCCCCATCTTCACTCTCGTTCCTGTGTCTAACCGCTAGATCTAACGCCATTTTCGATATCGTGCCTCGTGGGTTCGGTACCTCGTGGTTTGTTCATCTGTAATAGACTAAATGATTGTTCCTATTAATACCTACTCCAACGGGTCTATCCTCCGTACCTAGTTATTACTTTCCGCGTCGACCAATCGTAGAAAGTGTCCGTGAGAATGAATAATTGGATAATTAATATGTGCCCAAATGGAAATATTGATATCTGAGCAATCCGAGCAACGAACATATATATCGATAATTTGTATATAATAAAGAGCCCAGAACATCTGAGGCTCGTATCATTTAATCACGCAGTATTTTGAAAGAGGTTACCATGATTACGGAAATGAAATCTCTCCAGATTTTCTCACCCAAGAACTTTATTGAATTAACTAAAACATATATTTCACAAGCGACAATAATATAACATTATACTTTAACCTACCTACCAAAGGAAACGAATAAAATTGTCCAGCCCCAACATATCAGAGACCGCCCGAGCCCCAAGCCTAGATCACAAATCGCAGAGCTAGAATTAAAGACTTTCTTTTGGAGCAAAGAGCTGCCAAGACTCACTCGGCGCTACCAACAGTTTAAAATTACCACGAACCTTTACCCTTCATGCATGCGAGAGAAACCATTGGAAATGTCATATTATCTGCTGGGTACGTTCACTTATTACCTTACTAGGTAGAGAGTCTTGGATAATAATGGATAATTCAAAGCTTCACAATATTATACATCCGGGAGCCGCGAGGCATGCGAAGCGCAAACATTATTATCTCATTTTATTTATTATACAGAGTAGGTTACTTCAATGCAATCTATTGGAAACTTGTCTAGAGCTATAATGAACAAAATTGTTTGAGTCTGAGCACTTGTAACAGAAAATGAGGAAACGTCCCTAAGAAAAGAAGAAAAAAGTAAAGAAAAAAGTAAAGAAAATTTCCATATTCCCACTTGGCAATTTCTGAGAATGTATTGTGTTGTGTATTTGTTACGATAGGTATGGAGTAAGTTCTTACTTCCATACGCTTCGATATCATACAATACAATACAATACCTAGTATCTTTCATTCGTAAAGAATACCGAATTAGTATACCTTTACATTCTTTTTTTCCATTCTTCGTCATTCTTTCCTCTTCATTCTTCCCTCCTACCTCCAGTGTTTCAATCTTCAGGAGAAAGTTCAAGAACGGAATGAATGGCGTCATACATTGCGTTTCATATTCGTACACTAAACGTAACTGTACATTCCATTTATATTCTATTTTCTAAATTCTATATTCCATCTATTGATACCGTATCATTGCTAGATACCTACGTAGCTACGGAGCTAGCTAGCTGAAGTTACAGTGGTATCTAATAGGTGGTATTTGGAAATGTGATACAAATATACTAGGTACAGTACATGTGCAAAGTAACATAAAGTGAATATTCTCCTTTGATCTACGTATCCGCTCCTATCTTATTCTATCCTACCCTATCCTATCCTATCCAATCTGATACCAAACATGTCTTCCATGTCTTTCCCGTCTTTCCCGTCTTTCCCATCTTTCCATTCTCTACCCACCTAATACACACCTAGTACACACCTAGTACAATAGCCATCCCGCTTCTCCCCTCCCACTCTTCCCACTCTCCCCACTCTTCCCGTTTTATTTTTCAGCTCTTCCTCTTCCTCCCTCTCCCGTCCCCCCCTCCCCCCTCCTTTCTCCCTCCTTTCTTCCCCGTCCTCGTCCAAAGCACCCTCCTCTCCAATTTTCCCAATCTCCCCAACCGAGAAACCTACCTAGGAGTCTCCTTGTACATGTATGTATATATATTCCTACTCTTCAACATTTGTTTCTTCATGCGTGTATGCAATATGGTATTATATAGATAGATAGATAGATGAGTTCCTATGCGGACAATTCGGAGCATTCGGACAATTGGTTTAATATGCATTAGTTTTGGGGTTAATGCAATTATTGGGTAGGTAGGTTGGTAGGTAGGTATGTGAATGATCTACTGATCTTTACATGGTTCTTTCTCTGTTCTTTTTGGATTTGGATTTCGATCTCTGTACTTTCTTTTTTCTTTTCCTGATTCCTATCTCTCTTAGATCAGCTCAACCCAAAGCAAACTCAACTCATCAACCACCCTTCCCTCCCATCCAAGATCTACCACCAAATAACACTAGCCAAACCAAAACCCAAACTCAAACCCAAACTACAATACCCCTTCTTCTCCCCCTCCTCCCTCTAAACCCCTCCCTCTAAACCCCCCTCACTCAAAGAAAACCCACAGACTTCCTTTCTCCCTCCCTACTCCTCTCCCTACCCACCTCCCTCCAACCCACCGTTTCACCAAACCAAACCAGAAACCTTTTTTTTTAATGTTTTTAGTCTTTTTTTATCTTAAAAAAAAAGAAAAGAAAAGAAACTTCAGATGAAACAAGTTCATCCAATTCATAATATTATAACACTATATATTACTCTGATATCAATTAATATATTTATATATATATCCATATATACTTATATTATACTCCACCCGTCTCAAGTTTCAAGTTTCAGCACAGATTCTATATTCGTTTCACTAATTATGATTGTGTTGAGTATGTATATATATATATATATAATATCTATATACTTAAGTATTCACAATAGACTTTCATTTTTGTATTAATTACAAGATAGTTTATAGATATAGATATGATTTTATAAATGAAAATTTTAAAAGGGGAAGAGATCTAAAAGGAGAGTTAAATAAATTATATTTTGCTAGAGATTTTTTTTGGGTGAATTGTAGAGGTGATTGTAAATGTATGGAAATGTATGGAAATGGTTTTCGAGATACTGGTGAGAGAGAGAGTTGTGATTATTCGTGATGAGTTTGTTTAAGGAGAAGTGGGACAGCGAAGATTGTATATCAATACACCCACATACTCATGATATTCCTTATAACATCATGACTCTCCCATTTCTCACATACCCCTTATTTAATTCGTCGTATCCCATAACATCTCTTTCACAACTCACTCAGACGCCCATCCGCATCACGCATCCACCCACCATATAACTCGCTGAGAGGATTCCTCAACTTCCTTTCCCCCCTCACTCATAAACCCACCATACCACAAATCAAAAACATCGATGTATATATAAAAAACACACCCATACCCATCCCATTCCTAAAATTTACTTTTGCGAATAATCCCCTATATTATCGACGCACTTGCTTTTTCCCTCCCTTCCTTCCTTTCTTCCTAGATTACTACATACCAAGAATTCAGATGTTTTATATCTATCTGAGTTTATGTCTGTATCATATTGTGAACAAGGTTACTTGGGATATGATATAGAAAATATAGTATTACTATATAAATACTCAGCAGTATTGTTCTAGCGGCTTTATTGATAGGAATGTAAAATGGAGGGAGGTAAATCTTCAAACATACTGTGCGTAGTGATTTTGTATTTTCATATGCATATGTGTATTGAGATTGAGATTGAGATTGATATTGTAGAAACTACAGAATATCGATGATAAAACAAAATTGTAAAGAAAACAACAAATAGCACTACCATATCTTGGCACTGCCTCAATCTCCTTCATTCCGTAGCTATGCTGCTTGCCGTAATATCTCTATCCGAGAGAATGACCCCTTCTATCACCTAAATCGCAACAACGAGCTGTAGCGGACCATTCCGTGATCATTGATCATTTGCTTGTAGAATCGGCCGACCCTCATTCTCATGCTGCTCGGATTTTCACCTTAAATAGATAAATACACCGAATCCTGATTCGACCAGCCGAATTACATCGATTAGCCATCCAATTACTTCCGGATGATATGGCTGTAGATGAATCCAGAAATGTTATAAGGAGTGAATGGTAGATTCGAGAGAAAGATATTGTAACAATAACATACTGCATCATGTGATAGTCATGACTAGGTCTTGTGCCAGTAATGATATATACAAATTTCTAGGCATGCATGTTCAATATGTGTTGAAATATGTACGAGGATGTATGGGTTAAAGATATAAAACGTGTAGAATCGGCTTGAACATAGAAAGGAATTGGGTGTGAAATGGTTATGAGATAGGGTAGAATTGGTAATTTGCGCGTAGGAAAAGTGATGCTTCTTGATATGTTTCGATGCTGCAATACTTGCAGAATCGACTAGGTAGATGGAAGGATTATGGGTGTTTTAAACGTAAGTGTGCATTAGGTAGGTGATAGGATTTGTAATCCCCAAGATTAAAGGGGACTTGGGGCACATCTGGTTCAATGTGACCCTTAAATGCAGTTCGACATTCTTGGAGCTTGATATGCTTGACCATAATATTTTTTGACATTAATATTGGCTGCAGGACACCGGAAAATTACAGATCTCTTGGGAAAACTTAAAATTCATCATGCTGGCGCAGAACAAGAATGATGCAGATATATTTCTGCTTGACATAATAGCATAGCCAAGTTATCAATATGTCAGAAACATGGACCTTTCCAAGTGCTAGTCTACTAGAATACTTTCCTCGAGACCATTGGGTAAATCAGAAGTATGCTTGTTCAATATAAGTCTAGATTTCTGCGTCAACTTTTACAATGAGTTGAATGGTCACAACAGCAAGGAATCATCACAGCATCCATGCACAATCAAAATGAGAAATCGGCTAGCCCGTTTAACAAGATTTGAGTTTGCCGTGTATCACAACATGATGCACTTTGGTGGATCCAATGCAGGACTTTCTCAAAATGGTATTCTCCATATCAAGAGAATCACATGATTCCGTCGTCATGCAAGTGTGACAGGTTGACAGCGGCAATTAGGCGTGTACTGTTACTAGTAGGAGGAATAGAACAAGCTAAAATGGAGATGCGCATTGCCAGCAGTTACTAACCTGCGAAAATCATATCATATTTGATATAATTTTATAGAAAGACAATAACATTGAATAGACAGACACCAGGTGCTAATGCTTGGAATTTATCTATCCGGGCCGACTTGACTGCCGATGGGGATCTTCTTGTACCCGATATTTCAGCCAAAAACTCCTGCCCGTTCTTATATCATTATATATCACCCTTACTTCTTCGGCTCAGTGTATACTTGTGCTCCTTAGGATAAACTTGCCTTTAGATCGGTCATTTTCTTCAATCTAACATATCGTTACACTAAAAATATGCAGAATGTCAGATTGTATAGAATCAAAAGATAAACCGCTGACATGCCTACGAGTACACAAACACCAACGCATCCGATTAGTAAATAGATATGCAGTCAGCAGCAGAGTTTGAACAGGAAGGCAGGTGGCCTTTTGGCAAAATATCATAGCCTTGCTATGCGGAGAATGGAAAGTAGGATTTTTGGCTTTTCGTCTCCAGAGTTGAAGGGGATTGTAGATCATAAAAAGTATAGTATGCCTCTATATTGAGATTGTTGGAGAAGCGCCATAAGCTAGACGTTATAATTTCGTGGGGTCATTGTGAATAAGAGGCGTTCTATCTGGATACCGACTGGCTAACTTGACTTCAAGGTGGCACAAAAACGGGTGCTGGCCGCATTTAAAGGGACCACAGAGGGTGTACCGACATCCTGACCACAATCTCAAGTATCATCGACGCAAGGTAAATGATCAATCCTTTTCCTTTGACTGATTAGCCATCAAACAGTTGCCAAACTTGGTGGTAAACTACTTGTAGCAAATTGATGATCATTTCTTGCTTGTTTTTGGCCCTTTCCGTTTGATACGGTACACGGTGTAAGGTATAAGCAACATCAATCAGTATTATCCGGAGATTCAATAACCGCCCGTCCCTCTGAGAATATCCCTTGCATATCCCGTGGGATGCCGAATCTCAGGGAAGGAGCTTCAGACTTGATTCCCCCCACGTTTCCCGATGTACAGTTGGGCGTCTCGTGGGAGATTTGAGTTTGCAATTCGTGATAGAACAGCAAGCATGCATACGCGGAGAAAGAAGCAATCATAAGTACTAGCTTAAGGTGGAGTTTACTTGATTTTCGGCGGTAGATGCGATAAACATAATGAATTACCCTTGAGACCAGGCCTGGACAGATCTGTAGGGCCAATACCGGAATACCGGATACAGATTCATAGGGTTTTACCATATCATATCATATCAAGATCGGGGTTGTGTGGATTTTATCTAGGGACACGGCAAACCCTGGTAAAAATCGAAGAAAATAAGTAGACCTGTTGGACGTGGATAATAGCTTGAATTCTCAATAGGCCCAGTAATATACAATATACGTAGTATGCAAGTATGCATTGGTACATGCTGGACTATCAGAGGAACCATCTAGAAGAAATAGGGGGTTCGTAGGCCAGGTACGAAAAGCTCAAGGCGGAAAGCTACAAAGTTCAGCAGGTAAGAAGAAGTAAGAAGAAATACGGATTACACGCTACGAGGCTCGGACGCCGTCATTAACAAGCAAGCTTGTAAGTTGTGAGCTGCTTTAAGCCCCAAGCCCCAAGCCCCACCTACTATCGTTCGAAATTTACCAAAACCGGAACCTTCCTAAAATTCCCCCGCGACGCCATTGACTCTAAAAAATTGCATAAAGCATTCACTCATTCCCCCTCCCTTTCAAACTTCTGATTTCTTCTCTCGATTTCTTCCATATGTCATATCTGATCTCACGTCTGAGAATATCTACTCCAAAAATTCCAATTCATACCAAATTTCAATACAGAAACTTCTCTCGCACAAACGTCATCATGGGTGTCACAAAGACTATCTTGAAGGAGGGTTCTGGTGAAACTCCTAAGCCTGGAGATACCGTCACCATTCAATACACTGGATGGTTGAAGAATACCAATGCCAGCACTCCTGAGACGCAAAAGGGTAACCAGTAAGTCCATCCAAAGGCCTCAATCCCTTTTTCATGGTAATGCCATACTCTTCCCGATTCCGTGACTAACAAACTACTTTGCAGATTCGATTCATCTGTCGGCCGTGGTGCTTTCGTTGTTCAAATCGGTGTTGGTCAAGTCATCAAGGGTATTTTATCCCGCTATCTAATAAAAGTGACGTTGGATTCTTATTAACTGGTTCTTAGGCTGGGACGAGGGCGTCACCACCATGAAGGTCGGTGAGAAGGCTACCTTGGATATTACTCCGTAAGTGACATCTGCCAATGCATTGTTAAATGGCTAAGCTAATAATATCTTCATAGTGACTACGCCTATGGTGCCCGGTAAGACCTTTCTAATCCCCAACCCCCACCGTTTCTCTTCCATATGTCGACTCAATGAGTTGAATCCTCGGGAAAAAACGGCTACAATACGATGGATGGACGGAATTGCTGATCTTTCATTTCGTAGCGGTTTCCCCCCTGTCATCCCAGCTAACTCGACTCTCCTCTTGTAAGTCTCAGATTTAACAGACTAGATCCACAAAGTTCTCCACTAACAACATCTGCAGTGACGTTGAGCTTCAGAAGATCAACTAAATGCGCGATATTCAAAAGTGTTCAACCATAGATCGTCAAATGGCGAGGAGGCTCAGGCTCACGAATGAATGAATGAACGAATACACAGTGGTGGAAGCATATAAGCATGCATGAACCGCCCGTTGAGTTGAGAATGGATACTACATTGTTTCTCTGAAATTAACCACGCATTTGACTTTTGTGATGGACCTTAAAATCTATAAATATTACTCGAGCATGCGGAAGTGAAAACGAGAATCATGACCAATGAAACGAAATCTCCAAGGCGCCCTCGAACTAGGATTAAGATACCGCCTCTCATGTACAACATGTAAAAGGTTGATTCGGGATGAAGAGGGCCTTTGTGTTGAACTGTGATACCATCGGTCTCTATTCCATATAAGTGACATCGAGAAGACAGACACAGTGCAAATGAAGTTCCGTCTAGTCTTACGGCTCCAGATTGACAGGTAATTCGGTCAAGTTGCTGCAAATGTCCATACCAACCCCCCGAAATCATTGTTAGCACAAGGCTTGAGATGACATAATTTCCATCACATAGTCCGTACAAAGCACCGTCATTATTTTAGATCAACCCTCAATTGTGTGGTACCAAGTCTACAAGTGGCCGGGTTATGAGCTACTCACTAGTAGAATGACATAGCATATCTACCTAGTATGTACTATATCTTTGCTCAATTACTGATAATTTAACACGATATATTTTTCCACACCGAATTGTGCTGCGCAGTAGAAGTAGAAAGAAAATGTTCCTCCACCAAAATCCAGTGTACTCCGTAGTTATGTCATTTTATTAGCTTGGCTACTCTAGATGTTTCCATTTGTCAATCTTAAAGCCTCAGTGGCTGGGGAGCTGCGAGGCGAAAGGCATTTTGATACTGTAAGCAACCAGCAGCTTCCAATTCTTCTGGTGTTTCCATCAATCACTTCTGATAAATATCAACTTCACATTTCATCTACACATTCATTCTTAAACACAAAGATACAATAAAAAGATAAATCCTAGCAAATCTAAAATCACGCAACCCAACTACATCTTGAGAACCTTATCAGCGCACTGATTTTACTGTACCATTACCCCAACTCACAAGGCGGTAAACCCCACAATATCCAACTACTCACGATCGAGCTTTAAAGTTGGTACAATTTATTAGTGAACCAGAAAATTACCCTTTTCTGGAACACTTACCAAACGTCAACATTTCATCAACAATAGATTTAGACGGTGCTGGCAACCTGGGAAAACGTAAGCTCTCCGACGCGGATTCTCAGAGGCCAGATAAAAAGATCATGACGGTAGGTGAAAGCTACCCCTCCAAGGCGACAGCTGCACCAAGAGCTTCAAGCTTTGATCTCTACCAAATCATAACATTTATTCTAGCATTACATAAACTAATACAAAGTTACTCTCTCCTTAGGCTATACACACAAAAAATACAGACATGGAGACTAAGATGCAGGTGGATGAGTCGGTGGTTGGCCACTCCGAAATTGATGAATCCCTCTACAGTAGACAACTTTATGTTTTAGGACATGAGGCCATGAAGCGCATGGGTGCTTCAAACGTGCTCATTGTAGGACTCAAGGGACTTGGGGTGGAAATTGCAAAGAACATTGCTTTGGCAGGTGTCAAAAGCCTTACCCTTTACGACCCTGCGCCCGCAGCAATCGCCGACCTCTCATCTCAATTCTTCTTACATCCTGAAGATGTTGGGAAGCCAAGAGCGGAAGTGACCGCACCCCGCGTTGCTGAACTAAACGCATATACCCCGGTTTCCGTTCACAAGTCTTCAAGGTTAGTAGTTCATTTTGGCGCGGGGTTATACTTTGCTAACATTTAGCTCCCGCAGCTTGACGGATGACCTGACTCAATTCGATCGATACCAAGTCGTGGTCCTAACCAATACCTCTCTCAGAGATCAAATCATCATTGGTGATTATTTACATAAGAAAGGAATTTATCTAGTAGTTGCGGATACTTTTGGTCTGTTTGGATCAATATTTTGCGACTTTGGGGAAAAGTTCACTGTTCTTGACCCCACAGGCGAAGCTCCGGTCAGCGGCATTGTTGCTGGAATCGATGAGGAAGGTTTGGTTTCTGCCTTGGACGAAACAAGACATGGCCTTGAAGATGGGGATTACGTTACTTTCACCGAATTGGAAGGATTAGAAGCTCTGAACAGCGCGGACCCTCGAAAAGTAACAGTAAAGGGGCCATACACTTTCTCTATTGGGGATGTCACAGGGCTTGGTCAATACCAGAGGGGTGGAATGTATCATCAGGTCAAGATGCCAAAATTCATCGACTTCAAGCCATTGTCAGTTGCTTTGAAAGATCCAGAACACCTTATTTCCGATTATGCGAAATTTGATCGCCCTCAGCAACTCCATGTCGGTTTCCAGGCTCTTCATGGGTTCCAAGAATCTCAAGGCCGTCTTCCCAGACCGATGAATAAAGAAGACTCTATAGTCATTATTGAATCTGCTAAAACTTTCATCAAAAACCAAGAGTTGGACATCGAAGTCGATGAGAAATTGATTGCCGAGTTAAGTTACCAAGCTAAAGGTGACTTGAACCCAATGGCAGCTTTCTTCGGTGGTCTTGCAGCTCAAGAGGTATTGAAGGCTGTTTCCGGAAAATTCCACCCCATCTGCCAATGGATGTACTTCGATTCTTTAGAGTCCCTCCCCGCCAACTTTCAACGAACCGAGGAAACATGCAAACCACTCAATACTCGATATGATGGTCAGATTGCTGTATTTGGTAAAGAATACCAAGATAAGCTGGCCAATATCAACCAGTTTTTGGTGGGTGCCGGTGCCATTGGTTGCGAGATGTTAAAGAATTGGGCTATGATTGGTTTGGCCACTGGTCCCAAGGGTAAAATCTTCGTCACTGATATGGATTCAATCGAGAAGAGTAATCTCAACCGTCAATTCCTCTTCAGACCTAAGGATGTCGGGAAATTGAAGAGCGATTGTGCTGCTGAGGCAGTTCAAGCAATGAACCCTGATCTCAAGGGTCATATTGTTACTATGCGTGATCGAGTTGGTCCCGATACTGAGCACATTTTCGATGAGAAATTTTGGCATCAGCTTGATGGTGTGACTAACGCTCTTGACAACGTTGATGCTCGAACTTATGTTGATCGTCGTTGTGTCTTTTTCCGAAAGCCTTTACTGGAGAGTGGAACCCTAGGTACCAAGTGTAACACACAAGTTGTTCTCCCTCACTTGACCGAGTCATATTCCAGCTCTCAAGATCCTCCTGAGCAATCTTTCCCCATGTGTACGCTCCGAAGTTTCCCCAACAAGATTGAGCATACCATTGCCTGGTCCCGAGAGCTGTTTGAGTCATACTTCGTTAAGCCTGCGGAAACAGTCAATCTATACCTCACCCAGCCAAATTATCTTGAAAGTACCCTGAAACAAGGTGGTCAAGAAAAGGCAACTCTAGAGACGATTCTAGATTTCTTAGTTGAGGATAAGCCATTGACTGTCGAGGATTGTATCAAATGGGCTCGTCTGCAGTTCGAAAAGCAATACAATAATAACATTCAGCAACTACTGTACAACTTCCCAAAAGATTCCACCACATCAAGTGGTACACAATTTTGGTCTGGACCAAAACGTGCTCCAGATCCATTGAAGTTTGATCCAAAGAACCAATATCATTGGGATTTCATTGTCGCTGGTGCTAGTCTCCACGCTTTCAACTATGGCATCAACACTAGCGAACTTGGCTCAAGCACAATTCAAAAAGTCCTTGATAACATGATCATTCCCGATTTCTCTCCAAGTTCTTCAGTTAAGATTCAAGCTGATGATAGTGAGCCTGTAAGTCTAATCTCCGTTCCATTGCCCTACGAAGTATTTCTAACATTTTAGGATCCAAATGCTGCAAACAACTCATCCTTCGATGACAGCGCAGAGCTTCAAAGTCTCACCAACAAGCTCCCATCACCAAAATCAATGGCTGGATTGAGACTATCGCCAGTTGAGTTTGAAAAGGATGATGATTCAAACCACCACATTGATTTCATCACAGCTGCCAGCAACTTGCGTGCCGAAAATTACAAAATTGAGCTTGCCGACAGACATAAGACAAAGTTCATTGCTGGCAAGATTATTCCTGCTATTGCAACAACAACTGCTCTTGCCACTGGATTGGTAATCCTGGAGTTCTACAAGATCGTTGACGGCAAGGATGACATTGAACAATACAAGAATGGTTTCGTCAACTTGGCCTTACCTTTCTTTGGATTCAGCGAGCCTATCGCAAGTCCAAAAGCTACATACAAGGGTCACACAGGAGATGTCTCTATTGACAAACTTTGGGATAGATTTGAGGTTGAAAACATTACACTCAAAGAACTCATCGATGATTTCTCACAGAACAAGGGTCTCGAGATCAGTATGTTAAGTTCAGGTGTCAGTCTCTTGTATGCCAGCTTCTTTTCCAAGGCAAAGTTGGCGGATCGCATGAATTTGAAGCTGAGCGAACTTGTTGAGCTCATCTCTAAGAAGCCTATTCCAAGTCATCAAAAGACGGTAATCTTCGAGATTTGTGTTGAAGATCAGAATGAAGAAGATGTAGAAGTTCCTTATATTATGATGAAGTTGGGCAATTAACTATACAACGAAGCGGGAGTGGCATCAATTTTACGGGACTATGAAAATTAGAACAGCACGTGGATTATGAATACAGCGAAATATAAATATTTTACCAAGCAATGTGCGTTTTAATTCTGTGACAGTATTCATGATATTAATATAATATTTGAGACTATCTAGGAGTTCTGATCTGGACTTATTGTATACAGGAAATTTTTTTTATCTATAATAATAAATAAAAGATTTTATTTTCTTTATTATTATTTAAGTATTATCTTTAAAAATCTAATCATTGAGTATTATACGTTTTGTAAATAAATAATCAAAATAGCTTTTTTAATATGATTTTGATCAAAATTCATCACTTGTGGACCTGCTTACGAGTTTGTTTTCAGATCAGTAGATTCGTAATTTGCCAGGCAGATTTCGAAATTTCGTGAGCTGGCCACCGAACGAGCTCTTAGTAAGCACTTTGCAGGAAAAACATAAGCAATTAGCAATGATGTCAAAGCATAGCTCCAATCATGACCAATCTCATTTACCCCGCCATCGCTGGCACCTGCACCTGCACCTGCCCTGCAACTCGAGCTCCATATACTTCCTTTGTAAAGATTACCTCATGATATAAAGAGTATAACGTCGCCTCCTTTCTTCATTGTCGTAAATTCATGCTTTTCAAACTTTGTCAATTATCTGCGCAGATTCCAACTCTTTCGAAATTACCAATACGAGCTTTCAGTTCTATTAAATCCACAAATATGGTTCGTTAGCCTCCAAGCTCCTTGATGTCTAAAGGCTCGCCAGCTCCAGGAAGTACATAAACAATTGAAACAATAGCTGACATGCGAAACATACAGTCCGAGCCAAAAATCACACATTGGGTAGCACTTAATGATAAATCTGGAGAATTCAAGCGAGGTCAATCCCAATTCCGAAATTTCATCAAGAAAGGAGGGGAGTTCCCACCAGAGAAAGGAAGATACCATCTCTATGTAACTACACCTTCCTTAAGTCAAGCTTCTCTCCCGACTAATTAGAACCATTATTAGGTATCTTATGCTTGTCCATGGGCGCATCGCACATTGATCGTACGCAAACTCAAAGGCCTCGAAGATATCATTCCGTATACTAGTGTACATTGGCATATGCAAGAAAAAGGATGGAGATTTGCTACTGCTGAAGATGATGTTCCCGGTGATAACGTTACTACATCTCCAGTTGAAGCCCATAAAGGTTTTACGCATTTGAGAGATATTTACTTTCAGGTTGATCCGGAATATACTGGCAGATTCACAGTTCCGACTCTTTATGATGTGAAGCAGGGGAAGATTGTTAGTAATGAGAGTAGTGAGATTATTAGGATGTTTTATACCGAGGTTAGTTTGATTTACTTGTCCCTGTCATTCTTTCGAAATTTGGGATTAGGTGCTGATATTGAACTAAGTTTGATGATATCATTGCTCCGGAATACAAGAATGTCGATCTCTTTCCTGCAAATTTACAGAAAGAGATTGAAGCTACGAATGAATGGACATATAATGATATTAACAATGGTGTCTATAAATCCGGTTTCGCTACTAAGCAGGAAGCTTATGACAAAGCTGTCACTGAACTCTTCACGTCCTTGGATCGTGTAGAGAAACACTTGAGTGAGAATGAGGGACCATACTATCATGGAAAGAAAATTACCGAGGCGGATATCAGGTTATACGTCACTATCATCAGATTCGATGTCGTCTATGTGCAGCATTTCAAGGTATGTGTCTACTCAAGCAAGCGCCTCAGATAATGTGAAGATAGCTAATGAGTCGAAGACAAATATTCGGGACATTCGATCAGGATACCCATACATCCATAAATGGTTGAGAAACTTGTATTGGAATGTTCCAGCATTTGGAGAGACAACCGAATTCACTCATATTAAGAACCATTACACAAAGAGTCACACTCAGGTATGCACTCCTTTTTTTTCCTTTCGCAGCCATGTTGTATACTAATTCCAATCTAGATCAATCCTTACAGTATCGCTCCTTTGGGACCTGAATCACCTATCTTGAGGGAGGACGAAGAAGTTCCGGCTGTGAAATATGCTTTGAGTTTGAGGAAGTGAGTTGGGAGAGATGTAGTATGATGTGGATTTTCTTGGGAAATGGCAACAGGTAAAAGGTGTAAGACTGTAATAATATGGTTATGAATCTATATACAATCCGAGTTCAGTTTAAGCATCGAATCCTTTTAAACATTATACTTCAGTACAGATTTTTAAAAGCGGTCTTACCATAATCATATAAATTATAGCGATATAAATTGTTTCATCCAGGAATACGGAGTATACCGGAGGAGACTCTAGTCTCTGGTCTCTGGTGTAATAGAGTTTGTAGCTTTTGATGTTGGATACTAACATGTAATGGTGTAATGGAAATTGCCTGGTTGGATCTGGGGATTTGTTTTTGGGGGGGGACGTGGGCTTGCTAGATTTAGGTGATTTTGTTGATGGTCTTGGTTGAAAAGGGGAGAGAGGGGGGTTTCTATCTTTTCTTTGTGTAGTGTGATCAGTTGTAACACTAGGAAATACTATTCACATGAATGTCACGGGAAGCTTTCATTTAGCAGAAATATTCAATTTGAGGAGAATACCCACCTAATCTTCCATGATGAATTTCAAGAAAGCTTGAGATACTTTCACACCATCATGGACCTTATCAACCCTACTCATTGCATCCTCAAAAGTAGCATCGTCAAAGATACCCGAAGCATGTCTTGCCTCCAACACTTCCCTCACAATTTCCTTTGTAAATTCGGGATGTCCTTGCACCGTCATTAATCTCCCTTTAATATACATTCCCTGTGTTGCACATTTCTCCGTATATGCTAATTGTTCCACCTCTTGGGGATATTCATACACCATATCTTTATGCATTTGAAATATATTCTGTCGAAATATTAGTCCCAACTCTTTATTTATTTCTTGCTCATTCATCTCAAGCAAGAATATGTAGGAAAACAAACCAAACTCTCTAAACCAAATATCTCCTTCCCCTTTCCCGTCAACTCTACAGGAGTAACACTAAGTTCCCATCCCTTCTCATTCCTCTGAACCTTCGCCCCCATCGCCCTCCCCACAATCTGATGTCCAAAACAAATCCCTACCACCCTCACTCTTCCCTGCTCCAAAAGTCCTCTCACAAACTCGACCAATTTCACTATCCACGGCTCGGAATCAAAGGCTGTAAATCGTGATCCACTGATTAATATCGCGTCAATGGATGAAGGGCTAGGATATTCCTGAAGTGTTACAACGTCGTAGGAACTTATTTGGAGAGAGGACACCGGGAGCGGTGGTGTGAGAGTGCTAGCTCCGCGCTCGAGGAGCGTGGTAAATACGCCGCCGTATCCGTTGTATTTGGCGTCGGTGTTTGGGAGGGGGGTATCGCATTCGAGGATTGCGATGCGGAGTGGTTGGGACATTGTGTTAGGTTTTGATGGGTGAGGAAAGATGAGGATGGGATGGGATGAGTGTAAGAAAGACGAGGTAGTTTGAGAAATGAAAGGAGAAATTAAAATAAAAGATGAGAGTAAAGATGGGAACGAGAGATATTCAGAACTTGTATGATACCTAGGTAAGGTAGGTATGAATATGTACAAAAAAAACTGTTGAATTATTATTTGGTAAATAGATTAATAGATTAGATTGTTGATATGAATGAAGTCCGATAATCCTCCGTGATAGCTAGCATAGCATACATAGCATAGCTCGAACTTCTCCTTATCTTTGAACTTGTCTCGCCTCGGCTTTTCTTATCAATGATCAATGGTAGGTAGGTGCTGGTGCTTTATGTAAGATTACATATGTAAGGGCTCAACTGACGCTTTAGCTTGATAGATTTCTAATCCAATTGGATTGCTAAAGCTATACATCCGATGCTCAATGGGTAGGTAATCGGCTGTACTGTACGAACCCCAACCGCTAAGCTGTGTGTCGCTTAATTGGGCTTAGGGGCTTAGGTGTCAGGTGCTTGGTGTTGGCGGGTGAACGAACTCTTTTGTAATCGAGTGCACAGCGTCTGTCTGCATGTCTGATGTCTGCATGTTTTGCATTTATTATTCAGCATAAGGACTACCTGTATGAAATAGCATGGAGAACTTTGTGTTAAGTTCTAGAATCCTGTATCGGATGTTGGATAATCTTTCTCATTGCTCCCACTCGAAGAAAATCCAATCCCATGTTTCCATTTGCTCTAACCTCTGGAGGAAATGAAGGAGGACCAAACCATCATTCCGTCTTATTAGTCAATTGATAATTTGATGGTGTCGGTGATTGAATGAATGTTGGTAGGTCTTTTTTCAGCAGTTATACTGGAAAGGTTTGGGGTGCAGCAGTTAGTGTCTGCGAAAGAATGATTGATCGACTAATTCATTGATTGATTGATCGATTCGGCGCCGACTCCGAGCTCGCTTGGAGGGTTCCAAATGTTGGTCTATTTATATCTTCATATATATTGATTGTTCTATTTCTTTAAATTGGTTTGTTTGTGAGTAAGTTTATCGGTAGTCTTATACAGGTATATTATGGGAAGTAATCATCAAGCTGGTGGCCAGAATACCGCAAAAAGTATCGCAATCGAGAATACACCACTCCTATCTTCCACCAGAAATGATACACCAATAATTGAGGAAGTAGTGGTAGATAATGATGATGATTCAACAGGAACGGATATTGATACTAATGAATTCGACCTTCTGATGTGTCAAGAACAACATCATTTACAGCTATAGGTATCGAAACCACTCCGGAAAAATCATCTATACTTCGAAATTCCCGAATCCATCATCATCCCAACCTAGGATCTAGAAATACCAATCGTGTGAGCACAAGGAAATCAGCTCTTGGCCCTATTAGAAATATTCGAGAACCATTAAAGAATGAGGATGAAGAATCTAAATCCCCCTTTCTAGGCGGTGTTAGTGTAAAGAGATTTTGGCTCATTCTAAGCGGTGTTCTTTTAATGTATACTTTATCTTCATTTGAATCTACAATATATGGTTTCGAGTTATTCAATTATACCTCACCATTTCATTCTTCTAATAGTGCATCATGGTTATCGATGGCATTTCTCCTCACGTACATCCACCAGTTTCCAACCGGGCTTTGGTTGTTTGTCCGATGCTATGGGGAGAAAACGTCTATAATTATCTCTTTTCTGTGCTTTTGTTTTACTCTCAAATATTTGGTGTGCTCCTGCTCAAAATATGAAGAGTTTCATTACTGCGAGAGTAGTTTGTGGATTCGGTGCTGGGTTGTTACGTCTTTGGGCTCTATCATTTCAAGTGATCTTATACCTATCGAAATTAGAGGTACCTATTAATCATATCTGAATATGGTTTTTGGATTAGGAGCTGCTTCGGGTGCGGCACTAGGTGATGTTATTGCGGATTATCTTGGATGGAGATGGAAATTTGATGTCCAGGTTCCGGGATTGATTTTTTGGTTGATTGTTTCGTGTTTGGGTTTTCCTTTTGATTTGGGGTTGAAGAGGGGGATGAAATCTTTGAGGGAGGCTTTGGGTGTTTTTGATTATAAGGAAGGGGTCGTTGTTACTTATGACTACTGTTAAATTTTTTATTCTCGCGATACCAAGTTCCCTGTCGTAAGTACCTCAAATTATACAACGTAAATCTAACAACTAATAGAATCTGAGTGGAAATATTTATCCCTGGGCACATCTCCTAACCCTCAGCTGTATGAGCCTCACCACCCTCCTCCCCTATTCATCCTAACCGAACACCATGCCTCCCAGTTCATCATATGCGCATGCCCTTCTCCCTCATATCCCACAACCCGCTCTCTTCCCTCATCATAAGCAACGCCCTCAGCGGCATCCTAAGTAAGACAATCCTCTAGCTTCAACATCCCCCTCTCCATTCAAACCGTGTTCCTCTCATACCTCGCATCCTCCAGTCTCCGCCTCCGCCTCTTCATCCCCTCCTCATCACCAGCACCATCAGCACCCTAAGCGGCATCCTGATAAAGTTAACTTAGACTTCCCGCAATCTCGAACTCCTCTTTTCCTCCCCCTTTTCTCCTCAGAACCTCGAGCTCCCTTAACATCATCATCGGAAAAATCAGTCTCATATCCATGAATTCGAATCGCCACTAGTACTTGCAAAATTGCGCATAATTATGTGCTGTGCTAGTGCTATTTATTATTGCTTTTAAACAGTATGAGACAATAATTTCAAATGTAGGTGGGTTTTATGAGTATATTAGCTGTTTTGTTAGTGAACGAATTGCTACGACGAAGTTTATGTTGTGGAGGAGTTTGGGACAGGTTTTGCAATTGGGGGTGGCGCTTTGTTGGTTGATTGTGCGGAATTTGTTGATGATGGGTTCGGGGGGGGGGGGGAGGGGTATTTTGAATAGGGTGCGGATATGGAGATGGTAGGTGGTGTGTTTTTTTCTCTTTTTCTATTTCTGTTCTCCTGCTTCTCTTAATATAACCATGCATATCCTCAACTCGAGGTCAAATCCTTACCCACAGACACAAACTAACAAACCACCAAAACAAATAGGTCGGTCGTAGAAGCAGTACATTCCCCAGTTCAGTGCAAGCAATAGCAGGAATAGAAAAATATTATAGAGATCAAGTGATAGATTCTTATGCGGAGGCATTAAGAGTGGTGTATGGTTTTGGGTTGGGTGTTAGTGTGTTGGTTTTTGTTATGATGATGGGGATTAGATTATTTAGGTTGGGGGTTGGGGATGAAGAATGGAGAGATTGAGGAGAACAGGTAGGGCATAGGGGATAGAGGGTAGATGAGATAGGATGAAAAGAAAGTGAGGGGATTTAAAAAATTGAGAAAAGGGATGAATTAGTTATTTTGGCGAGGTATAGATGGATATACATGAAATTGTATTGGGCATGTAGATACTAATAGCAATGTCAATATTAGATAGATAAATAGATAATAAATCCTATTCTTTAAGCAAGTTTGGAGGCAAGTAGATGAGTGGTGGAAGAAACAGAGGAATTGATGAATCATGAGGATGAATTAGTGGTATTTACGAAGTTTTGGAATAGGATACGGGATGGTGAGTTTGTGGGTTTTTGCTATATAGTAGACTTGAGAAGTTGAGGTCATATGAGGTGAATGATGAAAGAGTATCCGTCTAAATGGTTGGATATAATACTGATGTTGATTTTGTGGATATGCGATGAAGTGATCAAAGGCTGGGGAGACATGTGAAGGTAGGATGTCTTTTAAAGTAAATTTTGAGGGAAAAATTAGATTGATTTTATGATGTTGTTTAGTTCGGTGTATGGTATTGAGTATAAAAATAGATCGAGTTGAGATCATCCATTGAGTGGAGATTCTGATTGAAATTGACATATGTACCTATGTAATCCTATTTCCGAATCCTATTTCCTAAGTATCGAATTTTGCAATTCTGAAACCAATCGATATCCAAACCTTCCTCTTCCCTCGCCACATCAAACCACCCTATTAAAACACCCATCAAACAACCACTTCGAACTTAACAAGCACCGCTTATAACCACACCACTCTTTGGCTTCTCTCTCAAAATCTTATCCTCTTCAAAGTCCGCTCTTACGTTCTTCGCTACCTCATCATCAGTAAGTACATTCCAGCCGACGATCGCCATGGCTTTAGCAGTCACAATAGTAATATCATAAGCTTCTTTGGTAGCGGCTGCCTGTGTGAATTCAGGCGTGTGGTTAACAGCTGTATTGGAGATTCCGCACATGCCGTGAAAGCCGGGACATTCGTAGCTTACATTGCCTGTGGTGAAATTATTAGAAGACGAATGGCAGTATTTTGAATCTCTGGAGCTTACCCATATCGGTTGAGCCAGGTGCGTTATAAATGTGTTTGAAGTCACATGTAACAGGGTGCTGAAGATTAGACATTGCTTCTGCGTATTGACTGCAGATTTTTTTGTTGGATCGTAGGTCGGCGTATGTGTTTATGCTGGGTAAGGTTAGTATATACTTAGAAGTGGAAACTGAAAAATGCAGACGTACTCTTCAAACTCAACTGTACAACCTGTTGCGATAGCAGCTCCTTCAAAACATTTGATAGCTCTGTCTCTGAGCTCATAGGTTTCTTTGACAGTGGCACTTCGGACGTAATAGACCAATCTTGCACTGGCCGTAATAATATTTGGCCTCGTACCACCAGATTCAATCACTCCCTTTTCAAATGATTAGTAATTATGTGACTTAGCATGTATGACATACTTACATTGATTCTTTCATAAGGTTTGATCTGCTGTCTCAAGACACTGATAGCATTGTAAGCAAGAACAACAGCATCAAGTGCATTAATACCCTCCCAAGGTGCCATAGCAGCATGTGAAGGCTTTCCTGTATAACGGATCTTAAAGTTGTGACTTGCCAACGTGGTGAGGTATGCGGAACCAACATGGCCTTGACTTGGATCCCTAATAGACGGATGAACCATCATGCAAGCATCAACATCTTTGTAAGCTCCTGCATCAATGAGCATCAATTTCCCTCCACCACCTTCTTCAGCTGGTGTTCCCAAGAGTCTGACTCGACCTGGGACATTTTGTTTCTTCAATGCTGATGCAAGGCCCAAGAACGATGCAATTGAGGCGGTAGCAATTAGATTATGACCACAGGCGTGTCCAATGTCAGGTAGAGCATCATATTCCGCATTGTATACTACAAGGCGACCTCCGCTACCATACTCGGCTTGGAAAGCAGTTGGAATACTATAAGCGCTAGTTGTGACAGAGTAGCCGAGCTCCTTGAGCATAGATGTGATGTTATTGTGTGCTTTCACTTCATTGAATCTGAGTTCCGGATTTTCATGGATCTAAATATTGTGAGATACGGATAAGTATATATGAGCCTGCGCAATAGTCCTGAATGGAGTCCAGCAATAAGGGAATTCTAAATATTGAAATCATTTTGACTATTGAATCTTTAAAAACAGTTCGAACATTCGATATAAGTATCGATCAAAGATTCAATCATTCAAGTCGGAGATCTCAGAGCAGGCTGCAGCCCAGAAGCTTGAGTACAAGGTTGTATATGGAAGAGAGGTCACCTTTTGATTAATTGCTTTCAAATTATCTTCATAGCCGTCTATGGCTTCTCGGATAGTTTTAGAAACCATGCTCTCCATTTTCCGTGATGGTTCTTTTGCGTCTGATAGACTGCTTGATTTTTGATTCTGATGTGTGAATGGGAGAAAAGGGAGGAGCAAAGGGTCGCTCACTAGGTAGTGAAGGAATGAAATTAGTCGGAAAGGGGATCGCGAGAATGAAGGTCGTTCCTATGGGCAACAGGTTCAAATTTTGACAGCTCCGAAAATTAAATGTCAATGTACGAGTGGGTTGTCAGAAACTAAGCTGTCATGGTCTTTTGATTTTCTATCCAAAAAGATTGATATCGCGGGGTAAAATCAAGATTGACGAGTTCCCATTTTGATTGGTTTATCGAGATGACCAGCGGTCGGTGATACACTTTTGACTTGTGATACCTATAATATCCAATCAATTCAGCTATCGTCTGAACTTCAATCTATCAGCCTAACTCGGCCCTCGGCGATCATGGCCTTGATTTTGCCTCAAAAATGTCCTAAATCTATGCGTAAATGGCCCCACAGGGATAGACTTGGAATTCTCCTAGAACTTTGGACCACTTCGAGACACAAACTCGACTATAACATAAACTAAGAGAGACCTCAGGTCTAGATCAGGTGGGTTGACTTTTATTGTTGGGGGCAGTAGTGTAATTGGCTATAGGATAGGATATATGACTTGTAGACGTGCTCGAGTGAGATGCGATGAAGAACATCCGATATTTGAAAGGTACCATCGTCTAGAATTAGATTGTTCTTATTAGCCTTTTACCTCTAAAAGAGAGAGGGAGAGACAACATTGAGAAGCGAGATAGCGACTAGCTCCTATCCAGATAGTTCCAAATACCGTTGAATCGTTACTGCTCTCAATTCCAGTTGATCCGGACCAATTGCTCTATGCTGTCGGCGATGAAGGATTTTGAATGACTGATCGCCAACTATGTTGCTTTAATCTTGAGACATTCGACGATGTACCTTTAAGTAACAAGCGTACCGACACCAATAGCCATCATTCGCCCTTCCAACCCTTGAAGTCACTTGACCTTGTGGGGTGAGATAATGTTGTGTTTCAGGATAATTATTACGCAAAGGGTTGCTTCACACTTCCTTTTCTAAGTCGGCGTAATCCAAATTCATTGAAGCTCTCACCATCAGAGAAACGGGCTGTAGAGCACTACCTACGAAAAGACACTATCATCAAAATCCACCACTAAAAGCCCAAAATGTCAACTCAACAAATCTACCTTTGTCTCAGTGCGCAAGATCCTCTAATCATGCATTTACTACTCGCAATATCCTTCCGTGATCTTTTCTTCAAAGAGAAAGATAATGAACTTCATGACCTAGCGCAGAAGCATTTTCGGGCTGGAATTGGCAGTTTACTGACAGCTATCTCCGAGCAAGAATCACCACATCATGTGTTTCATGGCGGCTTTCTGGTTTTTATATATGCTTGGATCAAGTTAGCTTCATTGATTGACATTGAGATTGAGGCATGGCTTTCTTGACCCATACACCAAGTATATTCAAAACCACTTGATTCTCCTCATGTTTCGACATTGACCCGAGAAATTTCTTTTTAAATGTATTTTATTCCATTCATTTCATCATTTAATAATACATGAATCATCTCAATATCATCTGAATATAACCTCATTACATCGTATCGTGGATATCATAACCAAATAGGAAAAAGAAACGCAGACCTTTCCCTCATCACCAAATATTATACACATGAGCGCCAAGCGCCCAACATTTCCCAATTTTATGAACTGCGATCGACAGTCATTTCCGACAAAAAAGCACCGGAGATTAGTTCCCCTCAAAAGGAAATCTATCTGTTCTATCAATCTCCTCCTCCATCTTCTCTCTCTGCTCAATAAGTGTATCGTCTCCACTTGTTCTTCCACTGTGTTCACCATGAACATGATGATGCAGATGTCCTGAATCCGCAAAAATGTTCTCATTTCTGCTTTCTCTTCTGAGCTTTTCCTCGTCCCCAATATCTGTGCCGCTGGCAGTACCTTCTTCTGCGTGCTTTCCACCATTTAGTAGTGCTTTTGCATTTTTTCTAATTCTTCTTTCTGTCCAGACTGGATTTTCTCCTCTTTCGTATGCTTCCTCGAAAATCTCGTCGAGTTTTTCAAGTGGGTATCCTTTTGTCTCGACGAAGGTGTACCAAATAATCGGTACGAATGCAAGATTGATACACATGAATACGAAATATGTCTTCCAGCTGATGCTGTAAATCATAATCGGAGCCAATTGAACAACAATATAATTACCAATCCAGTTGAATGAAGTCGAGAGACCGTTTGCTTCAGCTCTGATTCGGAGTGGTGTCACCTCGGCTGGGTAGAGCCAAGTTATTCCTAACCATCCTAATGCGAAGAAGGCAATGAAGATGAAGATAAAGGCGGTGGCAACGTAGCCAGGAGCTTTATATTCTTCTGTTGTTTGTGAAAGACAGACTCCGATGACCATAGATGAAAGACCCATGCCTAGAGCACCGATAATCATCATTTTGCGACGGCCAAAACGGTCGACGATGAACAGGGCGAGAATGGCGGCTGCGAGATAGAGAGTTCCGTAGCAAGCAGTTAAGAGACGGGCAAGGGAGGGAGAGAAACCGAGGGAATCTTCGAAGACAGTTCTGCAATACGGCATTAGTACATTCACGAATGCTTGGGAACGATGCGGAGGTTAGAACTTACGTCGCATAGTATGTAACAAGATTGGTACCACCAATCTGTTGGAAAAGTTGGGAAGTATATGCAATAGTAACTCTCCATCTATTCATCTCAGGACCATTTCCATAAAATTCCTTAAGTGTGAGCTTTTGTCCTTTGGTAATAGCGGTAACTCTCTTAAGTTCTCTGACTTCTTCCATGATACGTGGGTCATCTTTCTCGCATTTTTGTAGGCGGCAAAGAATTTCGATGGCGTGCTCATCTTTATCTTTTTTGAGAAGCCATTTAGGTGATTCCGGTAATGCGAGGATGCCGACAAGGAGGACAGCTCCGAAGAATGCCTGGAAAGCGATCGGAAAGCGCCATTGGAAGGAACCATATTGGGTGATGAAGAAAAATCCATAGTTGAGCCAGTACGATAACATAACTATGATTGGTTAGATGAAGTTTGTGAGAGCAGGGATGATTAATGCTTACTGCCTCCAGCGATCAAAGCACCTTCGAACAAAACCAAGAATCCTCGAATCTTAGGTGGAGCCATCTCACTCTGCCAGACGGGAATTGATGAAGTATTCATTCCGTTACCCACACCCGTAACAATTCTTCCAACTATCAATTGAGCCATCCCGAAACTCGAAGCTTGTATCGCAGTACCAATCAACATGATAACAGTTCCCAATAACACAGCTCTTCTTCTTCCAAGTCTATCACCAAATCCAATAATAAAGAATGATCCGAGTAAACAACCGATTTCGTAGATGGCAACAACCAAAGCTTGAATTGCTCCGGATTTGTTGTGTGGTTCCATTTGGGGAAAGTATGTGAGGAAATTATCTTCTGTGATGATTCCGGACATGATACCCTCTGAACACATCAATTAGTTCGACTTTCTGGTATGGACTATGGCATACATACGATCATATCCGAAGAGTAAGAAACCACTTGCAGCAGTTGCGCAGACAAGACTCTCAAGAGCCTTACCTCGCACTGTGTTCCCGAGGAAACCCGTATGACTTAGTAAGCCCATATTTGCGTAAAGGAAAGGAAAACACTTTTGTGTGGGATTGTCAAGTTGTTCTGATGAAAATTTCATTTATGAGATGGGAGAAAGGGACTATATGGGGTCCGGGGAGTACATTTCCTTCTCGAGTCGGCATGTGGAGAGGTCCATAAAACATAAAAAACATTGATAGCTATGATGAAATTCCTCCTAGGTGGACCTTAGTTGTCCAAGAAAAATGGGTAGATTCATACATGAACAAATGAAAGTGGTTGCAAAAACTGGAAGTATGATATCAGACCTCGAAAAGGTGCCGCGCTCCTTCAACTTATGATATTGTGGTTCTTGCTGCAGGATAGTGTATGTACCGTCTCCGGATAGCTCGGTGGCATTGCGGTCCCTCCCCCCTTTAGAAGTTTTGAATGCCGATCCATATGAAGAATCTGATCTACCGTGGTCATGTGACTACACATCAGCATCAGAGTCATGTTAGCGGTTTTGTGAAAAAAAACCCGGGAACAATGATACTGTAATTATAATGAATTCAACTGTGTATCATCGATCTTTAAGGTCCGACATCTCGCCTTTGAGTTTCTTCGGGAGCCTCAGAGTCACCCCTGACTTGTAAACAACTTGGACAAGTCCAAGACAATTAAGCTTATCGAAGACCCACAATGATTTATCAAAGATTTTCAATCATCAAAGACTCTGATATCATCCTGCAGATGTTCCCGAAAGCAAGCAATGCTGCCAAGTAGGACCCACACGATCGAAGAGAAATGGTAATGCTAGCGAAGGTGCTGTGAGAGCATGCTTTGATTCGTCAGAACCACAAAAATTACTGGCCTAATTCCTGCAGAACGAACCCTTTAATCGAGAATCAGCTATATCATCTGCTTTGTTGACCGCAGAGCGTCAGGATGCTGTGAAGCGGAGAACGACACGCATTATCACCTACTTCCGCTGTGGATAATAGGTGACATGGTCTTCATGAGTCTGTGGATACATGTCGTAGAGGACCCGTTCGAAAATCTCCCATGTATCTTTTGCAATGAACTGCCATTTCACAGCATGTTAGCTTGGCACGAATCACGAGCCGGGCATTAAATGTCGTTGCGAAATCAAGCAAATACATCATTCGACTTACCTTGAAAACCTTTGCAAGCCTCGCGCCCACGTTGAATGAAACAATGCCATCATACCTACTCAGAGTAAAATGATATAATAAGTAATTCTCATCCAATATATCCAACTTGTAAGATATTTTTGTAGGGAGGCCAGTTCCAGCATCAGATCACTACCATATCAAACCAATACTCCATTAACGTACAAGCACAAACTTTGGCATTCTTAAACATGGGATTATTCATTGTAGACATTGAACATGAAGATGCAAGGAAGTACAAATACCTGGAAAGTGCCTGACATGATGCATAGGAACGTCCGCTGATCTGTGGGCTATCTAGCTACCGTGATAAATTAGCATGATCAATATGGTCCATTAATTTGAAATGTTGAGGTTATAGTTGCCGTATTTCGCCTGGTTGCAGAATATATGTAAAACATGGAAAAAACATGGAAACAACATGGATAAAGGTAGTCGAGCTTCACAGAAAGATGATATATTGAGCCTGGTATCCGAAAATATTATATTGAAGGCTCCGCCGCAATGCTATATGCTGTTCCGTTCCCCATTCTCTCACTTCGCTTTGCGTTGCCTTCTAGATTTTCCTTTAGAATTCTCGGGCGCTGTTCCTATAGTGCCGGAGTTGTCAGAGGGTTTCTCACTTGCTCCATTTGCCTTTTCAGCCGCCTCTTCCTCTTTCTTCTCTAAAGCTCTTCTAACGGCTTCTTCTCTTTCAACTCTCTCGATCAAATTCTCACTACCTTCCCATAACTTCTTTGCAATAGTTTCGTCTTTGATATCAGAAGTAGCAAAATCTATTTCTCTGCACTCTTTGATGAGTTTTCCACCAGGCCCTCTTCCTAATGCTGCTTCCATAGCGGAGTAGCAAATACTCTGGGCACCTCCTTGAGAGCTCTTCAATAGAAGCCAAACATTTTGCCATAACATGACATATAATGCCAATCCCCACAATGTACCCCGGGAGAACCATCTTCTGAAACCTGGTGTGCGACAATATCCGGGGTCCACAAATATAACTCGTGCATTCATAACCGCTTCATCGGGTCGTTTGTATGACTCCAGGTGCTTCTGAAAGGCTTGTCCAAATATCATCAATGCCATTTTGCTCCTGGCATATGCCGCTGAAGGGTTCCAATCTTTCTTTTTTATTGCATCACTACCATCCCCGACAGTGGGACTTTTATTATAAGATGAGCAGGTTGTAAATATAATTCGCACATCCCGATCTGGTGGTTGAGCGCGAATTGCGGGACTGAGAATACTGAGAAGATGAAAATTTGCCAAGTAATTAATCATCCAGGTTTCTTCGATACCCTCTTTTGTTGTAACACGAGGTTTGCCCGGGGGAGTAAGTGTGGCAGCGCATAGTACGATCATGTCCAGTCGTCGTGGTGGTGCATTGTTGATCCATCTCGTAGCAAATTTCCGAATGCTATACAAAGATGAGAGATCGACTTGTTCAGCGTAAATCAATTCGTTCCCGGTTCTTTCCCGCAAATCTTCGATATAGTCGACAAGGAACATATCCGATGGAGATTGGCGTGTGAGGAGAACTATCTGCGCTCCTCGTGATGCTAGTTCTAGAACTGCTGCAGCGCCTATCCCAGACGTCCCTCCTGTCACCATAATCACTTTCCCATGCATCTTCCTCTCCGATGTATTTTTCGCTCCCGCAGAGAAAAGCTTCACCAAGACAATGACGCAAACAACCGGCACTACCTTGGCCACAGTCCAAAGACTAGGAAGCCAGGTAACCTTCCCCCATATTACATTTGCGACAAAATCTACGGGCATAGCTGTGGACTTAAGGAATTGAGCTGTTCGTGAAGTTGTTGCGAGTAGATCAGTATTGCATTATGATCGACAGGCAAAAAACACACTCAAAGAAAAAAAAATGTACAAGTAAATCGTCTAAGGGCGAATGAATGGTGGTAAACTGAAGAAGAAGACAACAAGATACAAAATTCCATATTTGTTCAGATTGACAAAAATTGGGGCTGACGAAGCTTTGTGGCGCTTGTGGCGTAAGCTATATTAGCTTAATTGTGGCTATCAGCCCTACCCGACGCTCACAACTATCGATGACATGAAATTTTGCTACAACTAATACAAAACCCTAATTTACCACTCTTATAAGGACAATATGTCAGATGGAGATACTTATGAAATCCCATTGCAAGATCAGATGGTCTTCGGAGCTGGTATTAAGAGAAAACGCGTTAAATTTGTTCCATCATCGTCATCATCCACAATTCAATCTACACCATCTGCGAGCTCTGCGAAGAGTATCAGCGATTTATATCTAAGCCTAGTCCTTCCGAAAGACTCACCTGCCCGCGAAATTACTCCAGCGGGGAATTCTATACATCCAGGAGATTCGGAAGTATGCAAAGTTTGTAAGCTACCACTATCCACAGATCCAGAGGCTATTAAGGATGCAGTCGACTCAGCAGATATATCAAATCCCACATCTTTTACCAAACCTCGACCTCATGAGGCCTCTTTAGCACATCAAATGTGTCTAAACCATTCACACCCCCCTTCACATGTCGACCGAAATAGAAAAGGCTTCACTTATCTCTCGTCATATGGTTGGGATCCCGATTCTCGCCTTGGACTTGGTGCATCGGGTCAAGGTATCCAATTTCCAATCAAGACCAGACCAAAAGATGATAAGCTGGGTATTGGTGTAGTGCTGCCGAAGGAGGGGGAGATCATAAAGAAGGTCAAAATACAAAAGCTTGATGCTGGGAAGGTTAGAAAAATGCACGAAAACGATAAAAGGAAGGGCGAGAAGTTGAGGGAAATGTTTTATAGGAGTGATGATATTGAGCGATACCTGGGAGGTGGCTGAAAGGACGTGGCCCTAGTATAATCGACACGCCCTTTTTTTTTCATCCCCGGCTCCTCAAAGTCGAACGATTCACAGGGACCGTTTTGTACTCACACACTCTCACTCAGGAAGGTGGAAGTGAAAAGCTCTGTCGGCTTGTAGAGGCTTGTAGAATAGAGCAAACATGAAATTTTCAAAGCGTTCCCGGTGGTAAAAATCACGAGTCGCTTGGGATATAAGGTGTGTGTCTCATAATTGGAATCTTGTATAATCAGCTGACAGGATAATGGAAGACGCTCTGCTTGTAACAGCTTTTTCTACACTAAATCTGTCGAATTTGTGTCGCAGAGTTGCCCTAGATACCCAAAGCTTTCCTTTATTTCGATCTAACTACATGGTATACCCCCTCGATGGCTAAAGTAGCCAAGCGGGTGGGCATTCATGTCTGGAGAATTTATAGTATGATTCCATCAAGTGGTCAAGAACTCTCCAATGTACATCCTTCAAAGTTTGCCTCAAAGATTATGCCAACCTCTACCTACCCATGTCTATATAAACATCCAATAGAAGTGCTTACTTGGGGTATAGGAACCTTGTAGATTAGAAAGCTTGCAGATCCCGAAACGAACGAATGTTTGTAAGGCAGACTCCATCTCAGCCTTGCCTTGCATCCAACAAGTACGCCTTATTTTAGGGTCGTATTTGTTGGTTCACATGCCACTTAAAAAAATCACATTGTTTTCTTTTTCATTAGTTTTAAATTCTTTTGGTTCTAATCTTGATTGTAAACTCCATCCCGTCCTAGTCGCTCTTCCATGTGATCATTCACTTTTGTTTTGTTCACTTTCTTCACGCGTAGATTGATTGCGACGACTTCACCTTCTTCCCTCTTCCTTCTTCCTTCTTCCTCTTTACCATAGCATAGTCCACCAATTTACCTCGCCCATTCCTTTTTTTACCTCGATTTCCACTCCTTACCTTCTCTTCAACAAGCACATTCCATGAACCGTTGAATAATTTCTTATCGTAACAACGTCCAGGATGGATATTCCTCCGGAATTCGACTTGCCACAAGTCCAGACAATATTGAACGCGCTCAAGAACATATGTCGCGATTACCCTGCTGGTGGTTCTGTTCTCAGGGAGCTTTTGCAAAATGCTGATGATGCCCAGGCATCAGAAGTGGTATGTATATCTATCCTCCTTTCTCATCCGAGAACTTTTGAATAGTTTCCTCTAATCCAAGTTGCAGAAGTTTTTCCTCGATGAGAATGCCTACGAAACAGAAAATCTTCATCCTAAGCTCGCTCAGTACCAGGGTCCAGCGCTGCTTGCTTACAACAATGCTGAATTCAAGAAAGAGCATTTCCAAAGCTTATCACAAGTGGGTAACTCGCTCAAGATGAACGATGGTTCGACCACAGGAAAGTTTGGGCGAGGTTTTAATTCTGTATGTATGATGGCACATTTGGTGCTCTTAGCCACTAACAACAAGCAGGTTTACAACTGGACAGACTCTCCATCTATAGTATCAGGACATCGCGTGCAAATCCTGGACCCTCATCATTCTTGGTCAAGCGGTGGAAACGGTTATAACTTCGTAGAACACTCTGAAACCCAAGTTTGAAAGCCCATATGACCGTTTATCAATCACTTATGAAGAGCGCAAAGCAACCTTTTCCTGGCACTATCATTCGGCTGCCTTTACGCACGGCTGAGCAAGCGAAAGAAAGTGGCATCTCCGATCGTAAGATCACGGTTCAAGAGATGGCTCATGTATTGAATAAATTCACCGAAGATTTTGGAAAAGAGGGGCTTCTGTTCATGAAGCATGTACTCAAACTCAGTGTGATTTCGACTATCACAGGGCTCATTGAGATCGAAGTAGTGAATACAGAAGCCGTTCAGGTGTAAGTCTTATTCTATAATTCATATGGTTGTTGCTCATAGTCCATTTTATAGAAACAAATCCCGAGTCAATGATGCAATCATCAACACATTGAAGAATTCGTTTCAAGACTTCGATTGTTCCTTTGAGATGGAGCTAAGGTATAAGACACCGACTACCACAACCGAAATGCGCTTCCTACTTCACCACAGCATCCAAGGTAACTCAATGAGCGAGGAGATTCGTAAATGGAGTATAGCTCAGAAATCCTTGCCCTGGGTTGCGGTAGCTGTATCCTTGTGTGTAAGTTCACCCTCCCGAAATCCCACAACTCGCTGCGGCAGAGAAAGGAACGGAAAATCATATCTCCCTCCCACAAGCCATACATATTACAATTTTTCGTTCTCATTATCAAACTATCATACGCAGTATTGCTGACAAGCCTTTCAGGCACAAAATATTCCAGCCATAAACGGCTCCTTGTTTTTTGGTTATGCCATTGCACATTCCCATAAACCAGCCGGCTCTGATTCATGGCTTGTTCAGCATCTCACCAGATCGAGCACGACTGTATAAATCTCAGGACCATAGCTCACAGGATCAGTTGCCGGCGCAGTGGAATCAGTACCTATTCAACAGCCCAATTCCACGTGCTTGGACTAAGCTGTTGAGACGCCTTGCTTTATCTCCTCCACCAGACCCAGCGTTTAAGTATTGGCCTCGCAAATCAGATGATCCTGACAATTTATCCAAGGATGTTCTCACTCAAGTGCTGTCCTTGATTGGAAATCAGCCAGTTTGGCACACTGTCAATGGCTACGTCGGCGCTGATTATGGGCTGTTAGCGATTGGCAACGAGCCACAATCACTAAAGTTGACATTGGCAAACGCGAAAATTCCAGTTGTCTACCTACCAGATAAATTGAGAGTGGAAGCCAAGGAGGCTTTTTCGAATCTGACCCTTGAACCTCGGACTCTGTGCACTTACCTTCGCGACAAGAACGACTTGGTGGCCTCCTGGCCACAAGCGACGAGGCAAGAGATCCTGGAATATATTCTCCCTATTCTTGGCTCCTCCGATCTTATAAACAGTCTAGCGTTATTTCCATTCGAAGATGGCACATGTCGCGCAATCGATGATCATCTTGCATTTGTGCATCGCGATGATTTTGAAGCAGAACTATTCTGCCACGATGCGAAACATAACCTCGACGTGAAAATTTTTTCTTGGCAGACCTTGAACACTCTACAAGACCGCCTGAGGACGTCAGAGCTCCATTCTCACATCCGCCATCGTTCTGCTCGTGATCTCACAAAGTATGCCATGACATATTTCTTCAATAAGCTTCATGTTGATGCTGATGTGACGGCTTTGGATCTCGATCAAACAACATTTGTCACTAAGACCTGGAAGTGGATACGAAGAAATTCAAGTGTTCAAAATGACAGCATCGCCAGTCTATGGTTGCTTCCTCTGGCAAACGGCAAATACCGAAAAGTTAAACCTAACAACTGCTGGGCTATCATACCACCGCCTGGAAAACTTGGTGATACCATTCAAAAGCTTGGAAAAGATGTTGCAGCTCAGCATACGCCAGTGATTCTCTCAGGCCGTGCGGGTTTAGATACAGTTCTTGTAGAATCGTTGAAAACCACAAAGACTGGTTCAACTTTGCAGGTTCGTAATGGGGAAATGTTTCATGTCGTATTGGAATGGCTTGCTAAGTCCCATGTTGCTATTGAGAATGCATCTGATGGAGACAAAACTGTCATCATTGAACATATCGCGGGAGCTATTAAGGGGAAGCTTAATCAGAAATACTCAAATAGTGATTCGCTAAACCTGCAACACCTGCAGAAACTTCCCATTTTCCAAGAATTGAAGTGCGGAAATGATGAAGAATTTCGGTATGTACATACTCACCATTGTCGCCTTAAAGTAACTAACAGTATTTGAAGGTACCCGTGGGTACGTATCGAGACTTTTAAATCTCAAATTGGGGTCATTGACAAAATGTTTCCTCTTCCTACATTCAAAGACTACCAATTTTTGGATGCACAGACCATTCCTATCCAAGAGATCCTTAGCTACCAGAATCTCTGCGTGTGCAAATCGAAGATCGAATTGTTAGAAGATCATATCATCCCAGCTTGGAGGAAACCTCAAAAGTGCACTTGGTCACCATCATTGAAGGAGCAAACTGCGGAATTGATGCTTCAATGCTATAATGATTTGTCTGCCCAAGCACAAGCAGGTATGAGCAGCCTACCAATTGTACCTACTCAATGTATCGATGGAAAATTAACCGGCAGATTTTCCGCCGCTTCTGCTCTGGTGGATCCCGAGAACAAATGGCTAAAGAGCGTGTTCTTCAGTGACGAGGAAGTATTGCCTGCTGAGAAACCACACGCGCGATACGGCCACATTTTCAAGAAACTGGGGTTAAGGACTGATGCCGATGAGTCGTTCATCTACGAGCGAGTCTGCAAATTCGTAAGTAGTTCTCAATTAGTCGACCGCGAAGAAGTCCACAGCTGTGCTAAGAGCCTTTTGAAAACCGCTTGCTCCTGGTCCCCATCAGAAGCAACAGCGGCAAAGTACAAGCAATTCCTTAATCGCAAATGGCTACCGGCTACTTTTCCCGATGGAACTGTCGACTTGGTAAGCCCAAATCAATGCCGCGGTATTGAAGATCGTTTGCGCGCAGGGTCTAGGCTTCCGATCGTCTCTTTTACCATAACTTATCGTTGGCAAAAGTTCCTTGGATGGGATACAATCCTACACGACGATGTCTTACTTGCCCAACTCAACCATGGCATTATCATTCATGATATAGAAGTTGTCAACGCCGTGCTTACCTATTTTAAAGAAAAATTTCGAATCGATGCTGTCTCGGAATCATTAAAACAACTCCGATCTGTTCTCACGGAGAACGGCATATTCGTTACTGCCTCCAAGGGATTTTTCTCTGGTTGCGCGCTTCTTGGCCCATTCTTGGGAAATATCGACACGGGTTTCGCGAAAATGCACGAAGATATCTTGAAAGCCATGAATGTCAGATTGAGGCCAGGAGTAAAAGACATCCTTGATGTTCAAGCTCAGATTGAGCGGTCCGGCCATCCTTACAAAGATTCCGATATTGATATTCTATTAGAAACAATTAAGATGGGCCAGTAGATTTCTCAGGAAATCTCTAGGAGGCTTGAAAGTGCTGGGATCAAGATGGTGTTCTTTGCTCAGTGGAGGATATAGCTTACAATGATGCAGCGCTATTGTCTGACAGGATCGTCGATAAAGTCAGATTTACCAATTCGCGAATCTCTCAACAGACAGCACAAAACTTGTCGATAGAGAAAATTAGTGAGCGATTGAAAAAAGGAGAACTGCAATTGGCCGATGATGATGATGATGACGAGGACTTCCAACAGTGTGAGTCTGTCACTACAAGCATTTCAACTACTCTGGATCGATACCCCATTGAAAGTACATTTAAAGAATACCTAGCAAATGCGGATGATGCCAAAGCATCAGCAGTTAATTGGATGTTGGATCCCAGGCAGCACCCTACTGATCATCTCCTTACTGAGGAAATGAAAGATCTTCAGGGACCAGCATTGCTAGTTCATAACGATGCAGTATTTCGGGATATCGACTTCAATGGATTTAAGAATGTCGGCCTTGGTAGCAAACGAGAAGACAAATCAGCTATCGGAATGTTTGGCCGAGGGAGCCAGACCATGTTTCATTTTACAGACAATCCCACTTTGCTCTCTGGAGATTACTTGTTGATTTTGGATCCTTTACAGACGTGTCTACCTCTCAATAGTAATTGGCAGGCACGAAAGCCGGGAGTGAAAATATTGCTATCTAAACTCAAGCAGTTGCATCCAAATCAACTTGTTCCGTTCCACGATTTATGGGGTTATGATACTGAGTCTGATCATTATGACGGGACAATCTTCCGGTTTCCATTAAGAAAACATACATCGCCTCTCAGACCAAACCAGGAGCCTCTAGGCATTAGCTCAGTCCGATTACTCCTGAATCAATATTTTACACAAGCTCGAATTTCTCTGCTATTTTTGAAAGGGGTCAAAGTGGTCAATTTCAAGGGACCCGGAGCAAAAGAACTCTTTTGGTCGGTGAAGAGGAAGAAGAGAAATTCCACATCCGACTACACAATTTGTTTCGCCAAGCAGATGGTTGGTACGGACATTTTTGTGACCAAAGATGAATGGTGGGTTTATTCGCAGATTGAGGAGACACCTAGTGGTGAATATCAATCTAGAATCAGGAAGAATTTAGAGTATGGCGTTGCAGCATTGGTAGTATCGGGAAGTGAACAGGACACAAAAACTTTGGATCCACCTACGCCAATGTTGTTTAGTACTCTCCCTTTGCCTGAAGAATCAACTTTACCAGTCCACATACACGCTACATTTTCTCTCTCCGGAGATAGGAATACAATCATTACTGGAGGTGAATCATCTGAGGCCGGTGGATCAACCTGGAATTCGTGGCTGCTGGAAGAAAAGTTACCAAATGCTTACCTCAGCTTTCTGGAAGGTTTGACTGAAAAGATTGGCTTGGATGCATTCAGATTCTGGCCACCAAAAGACAGCCGCCGTTTGGAGTTATTGTGCAAATCCTTTTGGGAGCAGCTTCCGAACAGTTCAGCTAGACTATTTCCTCGACGCGCCGAGAATCCCAATGCAACTAATATGACCATGTCTCAGACGGTCTTTGATTTCCTGCAGCCAAAGTTTTCGAGGCAAATTTCTCCAGTTTTGCAAGTCCTGGAACCAAATATATCCCCACATTTCCCTGCTCGCATGTTGGCCAATATCAAATCGACTGCTGTTGCTAAGTCTATGGATCGCCCTGGTTTACGTAAACTCTTGAAGTCGAAGAGAGCTGGTGAGCTCCTCCAAAAGGCGATGGTCGATGATGGTCTTTTGATTCGCAATGTCCTGAATGAAGTTATACCTGTTGGTGACGTTTCTTCAGGTGAATTGAAGGAATTAGAAGGATGCAGATTGCTCCCTCTTGCGGATGGAACACTGGGACAGCTAACGCCAATTCAATCACCAATGCCTCATAATACTCGATGTTACTACGTGGTCACAAAGTCAGAACTGAAACTTTTTGACTTCGCAAAAAGCATTCTCATACTGAAGCCCGAGATGGATGCATACGACCGCATAGGTGAAACTGTCAAAACAAAATTGTTCAATGTCATGGACCTGACAATTACCCATATCCCGGAACTGCTTTCCATGAAATCTCAAGGGTCCAGAGTTGTGAATGATGAGACAGACAAATGGTTGAAATCCTTCTGGGGTTACTGGAACAAGTTTACCTCATCTGCCGCTGATGATTTGTCTAAGAGCCCCAAAAGCTTTTGCTCCCTGCCGTTGTTCAAAGCAACCTGTAATGGTGCTTGGGAATATTATACCATGTCGGAATTGGATACGCTGCCAGCTATCATTGAGCCATCCGAGGTGTCGCATCAAAAGCTATGTAGTTGTATCTCTGGTCTCTATAGGTTCAGACCGGAGTTTATGCCCAAGTCCACTGCCAGCTATGAGAAGTCTCTTGTATCTTATAAAGCTTTGGGTAGATTCATCAATGCTTTAAAAATTCTGGAGTCGAATGAAAGCTCGATCAAGAAGGGGCTGTTCACTTTACTAGTGACTCAAAAACAAGATCTAATCAAGGTAATTTCTATTATGTGAATTTTGGCTAAACTTCCTTTGCTAACTCAATCTACAGATTTTTCAAGAACTTGTCATAGGGTATGTAAGAACTGGTCACAAGGACGCAAGCGATTATCTTCCGTTCTTGCCTATCTGGCCCGCATATATGCCTTTGAGCCCAAGCGAGAAATACATACCAGCATTAGGTGCAAAGTATACCAAGCAACCAGAGCTCTTGGCGCCCTGGAGCAAAAGACTTCCAGACTTCATTGATTTTAAGGCCATAGATAATTACGGGGCTGAAGCATGTCTCGAGGCACTGACAGCCCACCCCATCGCCGCCATAGAGTTGATTCGGATGTTTGACAAAAAGGATTTTCCATCCACCCTACAAAAGAAAACTGCAGATACCTATGTACAGTTCTTGAAAGCTTTGACTTCAACTTTAGGCATGGAGGAACAAAATTCCGTGCTGTTCAAAACACTAACTTCTTTCCCCCTTGCTGCGGATATGACTGGAAAAATGCACCGAGCTGTTGAACTTTTCGATCATAATGATGAAATATTTATGGCTGCGTTCCGGCACGACAAATCTAAGTTCTTGCACGATAGCGGCAGGGAATTTACATGGTTATGGAGCAAGATTGGTTTGCGCCGACGTGAAAGTAATGGCTGCCTCAAAATCGACGATTACCAAGAATGTCTTCTGTCATTGATAAAACTGATGAATACTGAAAACTATGGCACGTTAGTAGACCGAAGTTCTAGTATTCATAAGACAATGAAGACGATTTTATCGCCATTGGTAACTCCAAGTTCTGCTATACAACAGTTCAGGCATACAGATTGGAATAGAATCGCAGCCATGTCGGTCTTCTTAGTTCGGAAGGATAATACTCGCGAACCATCATATCGACGAGAAAATATGGATAGAATCTCAGAATGTGACACAACAATCCCGCTATCTGATCTTGTTCTTCATGAACATGCAGCAATTTGCTGGAGCAGCACACCCTTTGTAGTTCTAGAGCCGACTACCGAGATCTTGAGCAAGGTACCGAGACGTGGAGAGCCATCGAGTGGGGAGGTCTGGAATCACCTTCTGCACATGGTAGAGATTTCAAATAATATCTCGCCTGCAGACATTCCCGACTTCTTATCAGATCTTTGGGAGATATATGATCACCTTCAAAAACATCTCGCCCGTAGCAAGGAATACTTTCAAAGCTATGGTCCGGCCCTGAATCGAGCAAATCTGTGGCTGAATCCAGAGGGTGTGGATGCCAATAGTATCACCCTTGAGGATTTGCGGTCTTCGTGGAAACCAATCAATCATCTCTTACTCATCAGCTCTACTGATGCACCCCCATTCGAGTGTATTCGACCATGCCTCAGCCCATACGAAAAGTTACTGAAAGAACTTGGGTGTGAGTCAATTCACCATCCCACCATCGAACGTTCTGCCCCTCAATTAGCACCGCCACTTATCAGCACGCTTCGTGCCTTCCGCAAAAACAACGAAATGATAGATATCGTTCTCATCTCGGAAAACACTCGTTTCTCCGCACACAAAGTTGTCTTGGCATGTGCTTCCGATTACATGAAAGCCGCCCTATCCGGAAGATGGATACATAACGGTGAGATCACCATTGAGGAAATGAAGCCTGACGTGCTTAAAATCCTCATTGATACCGCCTACGAGGAACCAATCAACTGGGATGAGATGAAAGTAGACCAAAGGCAATCACTTCCAGCTCACAACGCCAATGACAAGAAACTTAACCTACTCCTCGATCTTCACAAAGGTGCAGATTATTGGCTCATGCCATCATTAGCCAACGAGGTAGAAGGTAGGATCCTAGATCAATCACGATTTTTCATCAGATTGGACAATGTGGTCGAATACCAGGAAAAGGCTAGAGATTCCAATGCGAGGCGTCTTGAGGAGTGGTGCAAGTTATTTTGTGAGCGGAATGCTACGGCTTTGAGGGCTTTGGAGGATGCTGTTACTTTGGAGATGTAGGGTGCGTGGTATTATGGACTGGATGTTGTGGTTTCTGGGGGGCAGGAACTTGTGTTTTCGAGGTGGAGAGAAAATAGGGATTTTTTTCAGGGCACTGATAAGTTCGACATTCATTAAGGCTTTTGAGAGTAACATGAGCATGGCATGCTATATCCGGGAGGAAAGTAGTTTAATTCAAACGAATAGTGCATCATCCTCTCCTTTCAGCTCTTCAACATCGCGTACGAAGGAGTATGAATGACATAATATCGAGATTAGAGAATTACAAAAGGTACATACATAAAAACAAACCACAGTTTCCAGAAGGTAGCTAGACGATAATACAAAGTGTACAAATTTGATAACTTACAATTCCATGAATCAACTAGATCCTGAATACATGAATGAATGAATAATTCCGCTCAAGTTTCAACAAATACCATTTCCTCAAAAATTCAAAGATATTTCCAATTACTCGAGTATTCAGATCACCAAGAAGACTATTGAAATATCGAAGTCCTGCTCTGTAAACCAACTAACTCCCAGTGAGTCTTTTTTCCTACAAGATCTCGAGGCGAGCTTTTCCGATGATGTCCTGATATAACCAACATCAAATCTCCAAACCAAAACCAAATCAAATCTACAAATGGAAGCCAGCCGCCATGTAAACATCACATCACATCACATCACACACATCAAAGCAAAAAGATCATATCAATTAATTTTATCAAATTCATATTACACGTTCATGCTACTGTTATTATTTGCCCAGCCCAATTTCACCACTCTTGTACATCCCGTATACTTCAACTCTCGACCATTAATAATGCCTTCAGTATCTCCAGCATATTCCTTTCTGTAAATATGGTTTAATATCCTTCGATTTCTTCATTTGTTCTCCACCGACACAGAACATTATCTGTAATTCACATATTTACTCCATGCGCGTTTATTGTGTCTCAACTCTCGCATATGATACACAAACTCTTTAGCCCCTATCCTAATAATTTCCTATTTCGCATCTCCCTCATCAACAAGACACAGGAGCCGAAGCAATTACCCCTTTTTATTTTTTACTCCTGAAGAAGTGCATTTTCTTTTTCTTCTCTTTCCCATCTTCACCCTTCTTCTTCTCTAATTTTCCAGAAGAATGTCCTGCTGCATCTCCTGTCCCGTTTAGAGACATCTGTTGCATTCCCGCAGTCAAATGCCCACCATCTGGACTCTTCATTGGCGGGGTCGGAGCTCCTGGGCTTCTTGGAGGTCTCACGCCTCCTGGGGCATGATTTGGTCCACTTGGTAGTCCGAGTCCTACTTGCGCAGCGGGTGGAGCTGGAGGAGGATCATTGGCTATGAAAAGATAGGCCGGAGCTTTAGGTTTTGGTCTGTCAATTGGTAGATCTAGTTGCTTCCTGCTGGCGGTTAAATCACCGACTTGCTTTAGGAACAAGTTTGGATTGAGCATGTGAGAGGTCGCTAAAAACACATCTTTGTTGCAATCTTTCGAAATTCCATAGCAAGCTCTTGCTTCGGAGTAAGTAGCTCCACCAGCTATGAAAACAATGATTCTTTGCATGTTATCTGGTGTGGTACTCCGTCCACGAGCCCATGTAGGCTTCGCACTACGAAGTGAAGCTTGTGATTGAAAAGCCATGTCTTCGGATGGATCAGTGGGGGGTTTTGTATAAGGGAAAATAGACGGATCTAGGGTTCCTTTGGTTATTTCTTCGAGACTACGTTGTAGATTGGTTTCATATCGGGACAGAGCAAGCTCTTCGTTGATGATGGTGGGTATAGGTTTCGGCGGAAATAATGGGGCTGGTGAAGCTTTGCTCTTATCTGTAAGTTTCTTGGTGGTGTGTACCCCTAGTAATTCTAGGTTAAGAATTTCGTTCATTTCTGAGAGAGGAAGTCCTGAGTGATGTAGAAGACGTTCTATATCTTCCACAATTAATCCATCTCGGAATATGACGTAAAGTATAATAAGCCTTAACCTCTCCTTGGGAGCAACAGCTGGATTATCTAATAAACGAATGACTTGTGCACCCATCTCCTTAGGCTTCCGGTAATCTTCGTCGAGTCCTGTGGCTAGTGTTTGTTCCGCTAATGCAATATCGGGGAGCTCGTGGTGTTGAAAGATATTCATACATTCTTGTGCCATATTCAAATGTAAAGAGTATGCTTCCTTCATCTCCTGAAATTGTGGCAATCCTGCTAACATATCCTTGATCTGATTTATACTGACATTTTCCGCATCTTGGTTAGCAAAATGTGGATTGTCTGCGATGAACTTTTTGAAATCGCTCATTAATTTTTCGATAGTTTTACTCATATGCTGATGCCTATTTTCTACCCATATCTTGTCTTTCTCACCAATTTCCATTTCTTTCTGTTCTTCTTGTGCAGTTCCTTCATTCAATATAGTTGTATATGTAACTTTCTCGTGGTCTTTGATTGGAAGGAGGTCGTGTGCCATGGCTTGATATGTAAATTCGTGTAGTAATGGTGCTAATATATCCATTGACCTATCCGTTATGAGGAGAACACCTTGAGGTCGATTAGATGGCGGTGGGAAACTGGGGTTATATTGCTGGTATGCATCGAGCTCCTCCTGAACAAATCGAGCTAAATGAGAACATAAGACTGCTGCTTCATGTGTAGGATTTTTAGGTCTGTAATATCGTATTTTTGGGGATTCCCCTAGGGATACGCAAATTCCAGTAATCTATTAATCGAATCAGTCCCAAACCTGGAGTTCATGCCATTCAGTGAATCCTACCTTTTGCGCTAGAAGTTGCATATGGTCGCGCACCAAAGGGGCACATGCTGGGTGAAATAAAATAGGAAAACTCCAAGGATCTCTGAAGGTAATTAAATGCGACTCGCGGGGGTAATAATCTATGGACAAAGTTTCCCAGCCGGCTAGTTGTTCTTGTGCTTGTTTAGAGGAATCGATACGCCGGCGCATCGTTGGATCGAGAAGGGCAACCCATACTAGGAATGATTTGCGATATCTTCGACGTTCGAAGTCTGCCAACAAACAGTCGACAACATGTGGCTCTGGTGATAGGAGATATATAGCATCCATGCCAGGGTTCATTTCCCTCCGGCTTTCCAGTATTTCCACGTCTGCGGTATGTTTAGTAAAGCCCAATCAACCCGCGTAAATCGACATACTGGCGATGTTCTCGTTGAGAATGTCATCTTCCTTAAGGACATTATACACTATCCTCTTAGTCGCCTCGTCTATAACCAGTACTTTCCACTACTAATGTTTCAGCATATATTTGGCCCCGGATTAAGAAAACATACGTCGCCTCGAGTGATAGACTTTATGGCATCCAAAATAGCTATAACTCATGGTCAGCTTTACACATTCCTTGAGATTCGCAAAGTCGAGCTTACCCTGGCGCTGTTCATCAATGGCCGACACCCCCATGATGGGCGGTGTATGACAGTTGGTGTAAGCCTTTTCGAAGTATTGTTGAGCAGTTTAAGTGTTGAAAATAACAAATGTTTATCTTCAGTATCGAATAAGTAGCACAAAGTGATTTATTGTGTATTCTTGTGGTTATTTGGTTGAAAGGGAGTTTGATTATTGGCGGGGTCATGTTCAGATTGGAAACGGAAACATGATGGCTGTTTCGTGAGGCGGCCGCTTATGCGCTAGCTCCTGAGTGAAGACAGCAATAGTATGGGAAGACCCAAGCTCAGTCCAAGCTACGACGACATGTTGTTTGATATAGATTCAAAATGTCTCAATGTGATTATCACAATTACAGCCCAAAATGAATGTTTCGAGCACCTCTATCTATGTCTATTATTGATGAGTCGGTTCTATGATTAAGTGCTCATAGAGTCATAGTAATGCTATATTAAAGTTCGTTCGCCCCTATATATGTATATATGACCGCTCGTCCAGGGCAAAGGGTGGATCATAATACTCTTCCATTCTTCTAAATACCTGGGAATTACTGAAATTTCAGATTCCATCATGTAACTTTCTGTATGTTTCTTCTCGAAGAAGAGGCGGATCTTCGATATCAATGCACGGTACCCACGGCTGTGCCGGGAACATCCAGGAGACATTGAAGGGAAACAATGCAACCTGGTTTTTTGCGATTTGCGAGTGTACAAATTAAACTACAAAATCTTTTTTAAGATATGCGCGTCTAATGCCCGCCTCACCGGAGTGCTAGTTTGTTGAACCCAACTTGTTTGGGGCTGGGAATGGCGAGGGCACTTATCTGTCTGCCAGATATAGTTATCTCTATCTATTGGGAACAGTAACTCTGGTGGAAATCATGATAGTCAGTAACTAGGCTTTGTGGGAACAGACATAATTATCAAAGGCTGGACTCGGGATATCATCTTAACGTGGATGTTAGCAGCTAGGTTTTGTGGGAATAGACATAACAGTCAAACCGGGCTCGGGATATCATCTCGATCTGAAGATATATCCGCACAAATTCAGGCTGTCCTGAGTATTAAACCTATGAGACAATCCGGACGCTGAACCTATAAATTGAAGGACATCATATCCTATCTAGACCTGAAAACCCTTCAGCCGTCGAATTTAAGCTCGGAGGCCATTCTCAATTTGTGCAGACCAGAGCTCGACAGCGAAAGAATTCTTGGTTCTTTAAATCGATTTCAAATATCGGATCTATTATATGTGCTGGATGCAATTGAAATGTTAAATGCATGCATTGCATTGATCTCATCTGAATCACTCAGTCTGTGGCATGATAAATCGTGTTGGAACGCTTTACAGTTTCTCAAACAGTGGAATATTGGATACAACAAGAAAAGAAGAATCCAATAAACATAGATTAACAACTATTTTCCATAAATCACACCTAACCCAACCTACGCTTTTACTAGCTCATAAAGTCAAATACCCCTAAAACTCAACCTCAAGCCTAATTTCACCATCCAAACCAGTTATCTCAATGAATTCCTCCACCAACATCATATCATCATACAACTAACAAGTAACAAACCATACTCCTTCCACCCATTCCATCAAACCTCCCTCCTCAATATCATGCTCCCAGTCCAACCCATAAATTAAATGCCGCCAATAAACATGACTCTTCTTAGCTCCTCTCCAACTTCGACAGTTCCACAATGCACATACATACACTACCAAATCTACAACAACTCGCTAATCCCTCTATGCTTGCCTTCGTCAGGAAAGAAACTAAACACCAAATCACAGGCGGGCGACGCCACGCTACGCTACGATACCATCATTCTACACACTCAATTCAATACCTTTGATCAACACAAATGATATAGTTCATAATGATTCAAATACTTAGCTCGAGGCCTCTGGATTCGAGATATCGTTCTTTAGTTCATTCATTGCTGCATTGTTGGGTGTATATATTCTTGCTTTGTACACTATGTAGATAAAATGATTATACCCTGCTTGGATGATATCGGTCATGCACGAAGACACCGCATGCCATCACACATTATCACAATAAGATTCAGAGATTGAACAAGATTGTATACAGCTCGCCGTGGTTCAACGTGTTTGAATTGTCACTCTCGCGAGAGTAAATCCTCTCCACAAATATCGCTAGCTAATATGAGGGGACCTTGGTATCGAGCAATAAACAAGAGCACACGATCGACGCCAACCATTCGCCCTGTTTGCACTGCTCTTCTCAACGCATAAACGCATCCAACTAACAGTTACCAATGTTATCCCTCCATTGATTGTCTAGGTGGCCAATACTCAAGGTCAAGAGATACACTAGAAACATACTTTTACGGCCACCATCGATAATCATTCGTTCTTATCCCTTCTTACCCGTCCATTTCCGGTGCTGCTCACTACCCCCAAGACCTATGCTTCATGTGACTTTGATTTTACCAAACGTGTCTGAATTACTGGCGTCTGTAGGCACCTTGTGGAGGAGGTGGTCCACGAGCATCGAAAGGGAATGCCGGCATACCTTCCGCGGAGAATGGAGACATAACAGGCGGCAGGAAGCCTGGCGGCGGGCCATTGAAGTAGGCAGGGTTAAATGGCATATTTCGAGGTCCCGCTAATGCCTCTGGAGGCGGAAAATTATTCATTGAGCCAGCCATCTGGAAACCCGGTGGGAGTATTTGTTGGGGCATTTGCATAGGACGTGGGACGTTTCCGGCTAGACCTGGAGGAGCCGCTGGACGGAATTGCTGAGGGGGAGGGTGTTGAGAGGAAGGTTGTCCCGGCCAACCTTGCTGTAATTGCTCCAGACCCGGAGGTGGTCGGGGAAGAATGTGTGTAGGTTGAGGTCGAGAATTGTCATGCTGAGGAGGGGGTCCACCCCGATAGATAGGTTCATCAAAAAATCCAGGTGGCCGACGCTGGGGATTTCCTCGCTCGCGCTGAGCTTGCAATTCTTGCTCCCGCTCCAATTGTTGTTGTTGGTGTTGTAATTGACGACTAGGCTGCTGTCTAGGAGGATGACCAAGAATAATCTGTTCCGTTCTTTGAGGCTCTGGGGCTGCCTGTGCATCTCTCATCAAGCTCATGAGAAATGCAGTTTGTTCAGACCGAGGCTGTTCACCTCTGAAAGAGGATTGGCTGATAGCATGTTGGCGCTGGTTGACCAAATGATGTAGCATTTCTTCAGGGCGCACAGTTGGTTGGCTACCTGCCTGTTCACGTTGGGCGCTTAGATCATGTAGGTTGTGGGCATATGAGTGAGCATTCGATCTCAACTCATCATGACGATCTGGAAGGTGTTGGAGCGTTGGGTCGCGACCTTCAAAAGGCGTCCCTGGTTGCTTTTCTTGCGAGGGAGGTTTGGACTGCATCATGGGATTCGCGGGGGGAGTTCCGCTGGATTGTAGCATTGCAAGTATCATTGGCATTGCTTCCTTGTCAGCCGGAGATTGAGCATTGTTGTTCAAACTTTCAAGTCTGTAAGATGCTTTTGGTATAGCTGTCTGTGGTTCGACTTTGCGCGAAGGCTCCTCTTGTTGAAAAAATTTGTTGAACCTAGAAGTTTTGCCTCCAGGTGCTGCAGACACAGCAGATTTCACCATGTGTTCCGTACCCACCTCAAACTGCGAAGCAAGACCGGTATCATTATTTGGCGGAGCCCACAGACGGAAGAATCCATCTTCATTAGTACCGGTATCAAGTGGTGCAAGGATTTTAGCCTTCTGTACGTCAGGGAAAGGAGTGTGCTCGTCAACTTTAGGTTGTGTGACTTCTTCCACCACTGTATCACTAACACCGGGTTTGTTCTTGGAATGCATTGCCTCTTTCCATTTCTGCATATCCTCTGCTGTATGTTTGCGACTATTGTTAGCAGTCGATATTTGCGATTTCTGGTGGTCATTCCGTTGAGAGATTTGGATAGTTTTGTCTTCTGCTGCCCACTCCGGAAGAGAGCGATTATTATCGTCATGGTCTCTGTCCCTGTCTGCCCAGCGTCGGTCGCCCTTGTCTCTATCCCCGCGGTTATCAGAATCCTTCTCTCGCCAGCTCTTATGTCGATTGTCGAACCTCTCTGCATTCGCAATGCGCTCCCGGGACGTCGGTGGCCCGTCGTTGTTTTCTCGAAGCCAGGAAGGTTCTGTTCTTCCCCTACCATTTGCAGTTCTGCGATTATTCTCCTGTTCATGGTTCTTATCCTTGTCACGGGAGAAATTTTCAAATCCTCTCGGTCTTTCCTTCGCATCCCGGTCGTCTCGATCCTTGAATCGTTTCTCTTCTCGATGTCTCTCCCCACCCATACGTCCCGTAAAACGCTCAGCTCCTTCGGTACCAAAGCTCTTTCGAGGCTTTACCTCCATCCAACCCTCAGGGTCAACACCATCACCAGGCTTGGGTCGCAGCATGTCACGGCGGGGACGATCGTCGCTATCATCGATTTTGGTACGATAGCTGAGTTTGCTTTGTGACTCGCTCTCGCGGAGGGCAGGTCGATCTGGAGAATCTATACCTTTAATTGCATTACGTGCAGGGTTGGCAGACGAAAAGGTAGTTCTGGTGGGCACAAGTTGAATATTCTCAGGGTCTGTCGCATGTCAGTACAAAAGAACAAGCATTGAAGCAAAGATGCTAGATTATTGGCACACATACTTGCATTATTTCGTGCTCTTCGGTTTGTGTGTTCTAGGAGCGGATTTGCATCACGATCTCTAGTTCTGTCAGATATCCTGGTAGAATTGTTTCGATTCGCATCAGGTGTTTGTCTGAAAATAGTCAATATACCGAGTATCATGGCTAGAGCTTCTTGTAACAAACCCCATCCATTCTGCGGTAGACAGTAGACCAGCAGGTTTCACAACCAATGGTGAATCTCGCAGAAATAACAACTCGTCCCTCGTGTACTGACGACCTCCACCTGTATTGGGAGCCATTCTATTACGTTGTTCCAACCGTCTTGTGAACTGTTCCGATGCTTGGGTTGTATGTAATGAGTGAACGGGTTGTTGACTCGGTTGCGAATATCTAGCTTCCGGCGATGTTGTAGAGTTTGTTGGTTGTGGGCAGGTGTGGACTTGTTCTATGTTTTATATTGGAGGCTGTAGGATGTAAGTGTGAGCACAAAGGCTTGACAGACGAGCTTAGCGCATCTACCCAGGTAGGCGCAAAGCTCTATGGTCGTGATTGTTTTAATTTTGTAGTTTGTGAGAGAAAAGTTGAGGTAGGGGTTGTGGTGATTTGTTTGGTACGGCGAGGAGGGGTTTGAAATGAGACTTTCCAGGAAGGTTTTGGCTCTTTCAATAAGTATGCGCAATAGATCTGCCTGAATTACTGTTCTTGTTTCCGGTTCTTTTGTGTGAGTAATTTAACTTTATGTCATTTGTTTTGACTGTTTGAAGTTGAGATTTAAGGTCTTCCGTTTGCTCGTTGCAAGTCGTTGGAAGTGTTGATGTGCCACAAAGGCAGGTTCCGCCTGTCTTAGCGTTCTTCAGCCTCGGTGCGGCGCAGGCTCCCCTATATAAAAGGAGGGGCCATTCGCCAGTCATCACGTGGCGGTTCATAACGATAGGTAGCATGATGCTAGATATCGGCCTTACAACTTAATTATATTGCAAAATCACCTTGGAAACAAGCTTGATCATATAGATTTCGTGCTCTCGAGGTGTCAAGGTTTTAAGTTGATATGGAAGCTTATGATATCTGAATTTAGTGTTATCTCCTAGCAGTTGTGTCGTACGACTAGGTAAGCAATGTTTGGCACGTTGGAAATGAAAAGCATCATAAGATAAGATTCAATATTTAGGGTATCTCCAGTCACATCCATCCTTACTAGGTACTTGCTAACTTGCATTGCTCTCCTGACTATTCAGCACTTTGCGCCTTCTCCCCCTTCTTCCAGCCTTCAATTCTTTGCGTATCACTTGAGTCAATGATTCTTTGCATTAACACCTTCAAAGGCGTACCTCCCCCTAAGGCAACCTGCACCTCTACCCAAGTCATGCTACTAAACCTGGTAATAAGTGTGGTACTTCCTCCTTCAATCGTGGTTGCACGAAACAATAGCTTGAGAATTTTTTCTTGTAGCCCTTGTGCGATATATGGATTGTTGTATAACGAGAATAACTTCTCAAAAACTCTACGTTTTCGGAATATACCCATATCCATTGGCGTTCGAAGACCAACAAGCATAAAATCAAGAAGCCAAGAGACCTCAGAGTAGTGGTGATCATCGAGACTCGGCGACTCCTCGAGAACCTTGTACATCAAAGGTATCTTGTCAATTTGCCAGGTTGGTCCCTGAGCAAGAAACTTGTTGATTTTAGGGTAAAGACAGTGCAGAGGATCGCATAGTACAGCCACGGAGTGCGATGCAAAAGATGAAATGATGGTGGGAAGTGGCTCTCCATTTATGACCTTCTTCGATGTCTCTACTAGCTCACAAAGGAGAAGCCAGACTTGTTCCTTTTCTTCGAATGAAGATTCCTTGAGTTTGGCCGCAATCTTTGATATATTGGTTAAACACTCTTTACGAACACTGAAATGTTCCGACGACAGAAGCATAATTAGTGCCGCAGCATGACCACCTTCGATAACTTCCTCTACATCCTTCGTCACCCATTTCACCAAGGCATTATAGTCTTCCTCCGGCAATACCTCTAGCATCATGGCATCTACTTCATTTTTCTCTTTTACCGAAACTGCACCCTCAGTGGTTTCAGCACCGAGCTTCCCAGTGGCTGTTCGCGGTGGCTGCGGAATTTCTATTTCGTCGACCAATTTTCGAGATTTATCCAAAATCTTTCGGGCTGATGATTTCTCTGGCGTCTCGTCGACCATAGCTTTTGTGATGGATTTTATGGTCCTTTTGTCCTCGCCAATCTTTATCGATGCTGCCAGAAATCGTGCGATGAAATCAGCTACATCTTTGAGAGCATCTGTTCCAGTTTTGACAAGAAATGGCCACTGTTCTGCAACAGAAAGTAGTAATAAACTTATAGCAGATTGCTCTTTTTCGGTGTCGCGGGGGTTTGAAGTAAGTTCTTCAAGAGAAAATATATACTTGATTGGCTTCGCAGCACATCTTGAGACGCAGTCATCTAAGAATTCATAGATCGCTTTGTCGTTAGGTGTGCCTTGAACATCCTTCAGTCTGGCGATAAATGTGTCAAGCGCCGAGACTGTGGTCTCAGTTTGAAAGATTTGGTTTTCTTGGACAACTGAGCTAAGGACGGATCTTAGCTTGAGCAAAGGCACTCCAGAAGGTGCTTCTGCGGACAATTTCAGCATGGCCATGAACGGAGAAACTGAGAGTCCCTCCGCTTTGACGAACCAACGCATTCCTGGTGAAAAATGGGAGAATTGAAACAAGTTTTCCAATTCCATAATTCGCAATGCACGATCTTCTTTAGATAACCCAGTCCTCTCGATAGCTTGCAATGCCTTCGTGAGAGTTTCTGATACGTCAAATTTGGCGTCCAAAGCAACACGTGGTACCACTTCATAATACAGAACTAACAATTTAGTAATTGCTTCTCTTTGCATCAACTCCGTATCTGACAACTTCCGAAACGTGTTGATTACATCCTTGATTGAAGGAACACGTTGGCAAAACTCATCCGTCAACCTCTCAGCAGCCTGAGTCCATATCGATGATGATGCAGCCGCCGCTTCTTCATACATTTTCAAAATTCCACGTATTTTGTTGAATGCAGCTGAAAGAATTTGTATAGCAAAAAAGGCAATTAGATTATGTTGTTGATTTAGACAACGTGTGAATACCTTCTGTGTCAATGGCTGAGGCAATATACTCTCTAGAACAATAGAAGAAGGTGGCGGCAGTCTCGCATACCGTTCTTGGTGCCCAAAATATTTAGGAATCGGAAGTTGCAGAGTAGAAAAGACGAAGGCCGAGTATCCAATCCAGGTCGCGGTGAGTTTAGGATCGAGTGAAAAGGATTTTTTAGTAAAAAAGTAACTTGCAATAAGCTCAGGAGCAGATTCGAGAATGGACAGTAATAGCTCGCTCTGTTTCAAGCTCGACCAAGGCCGGAGATTTTGGATAAATTCAGATAGTATGGTGTTGCGCACTGGAACCTTTTCTGTGAAGCGCTCCATCCACTCAATACTATCTAGTCCTAGGTCAATATGGCCAACGTCTGCGTCGACACCGTGACCTTCGTCAGCATCGACTCCTCTAGGATAGAATCCATTTTGACGGTTGAGAACACCTAGATTTGAGGATGTGCACGCGAGCATGAGAAAGTCATGTGCTATCCCGTCTACCGCTTTCTTCCCTTTTTCGACTTCTTCATCCTCTTGGTCATAGACATACAGTGCTGCTATCCGTCCGAGAGAAGTTGCATTCACAATTTTCGATTTGGCGTCTCTCGGTAGAGCATCGTCCAGTAAAACACTAGATTTCAAAGTCTCCAATATGTCACGTATTACAAAGGGAGGATCGTCTCTTATATCTCTCGTCAAGCCCATAACAATGTCCCTTTGATTGAGCAGTTCGCGTTTCGCATCCGTGGGAAGGAACTTTATGATAGAAAGAAGGAATCGAAGCGCATTGGTCCGGACGGAAGGTTTCCTGCGATCTTCAACTGCATCTCCCGTGTATTTTAAGCTGAGATTTCGTGCTAGGGTCTTGAAAGTGTAGTCTCTTGATCGGAAAACCTGCTTCGCCAAGGCTCCTCCATCGTAGATCGATAATTCTCGAAGGAGTCGCAGAACTGGGGAAATTACGTGCTCTTTGCTCTTATTCGAAGTAAGACCCCGTGCAATCAGTTCTAGTTGACGCTTCTGAAGTATCGTTCTACCTAACCTCAATCCATGCTCAGCCATCTCCAGTATATTAGATAAAGTCTTCAAAAGCAGTGCTAATACAGCTGGAACAGCGGAGAGAAGAGATTCATCGTTTGCCTGCGATGCGAAGCTCCATGTCTGCATAATATCAGACAGGAAGACAGCAGATTTTTCCTCATCATCGGCGGGCTTTTGCGATTCGAGGTATTCTTTAAGAATGATAACTCGGGCTGAGTTATCGGCGTCTTCTACAGAGAAGCTGTCGAGAAAGGCTTTCAAAGATTGTATGCCTGTATTGCTGTTAGCAAGATGCAACTGCGAGATATCAAAGCGTTGCATACCATGTTTTGAACGACCCGAGTCTTGATCAAAAGCTAGAGTCTGCTTCAATTGCCTTGCAGACTGTATATCAACGGAGGTATAAGTAGTTTTGGTAACGGTAGATATCCTTTGGCGCTTCTGGTATGCTTGGTCTCCATCTGCAACGACCTGAGAAGATCTTTTGCTCATTCTCAATGTTTATATGCTTGAAATTTATGATTGGTAAGTTCAATTGTCGATTGCATCGTCCGCGGTCTGGACAATCCTTTTCGTTCTCAAGAATAATTTTCTTGACAGCCTTATCGAAATTTTGATAATCGGTAGAAATAATCACCGAAACATTTAAGGCGCTCTTGAAAGGGTGGCTCTAATGGAACCTTACCAAGTCACAATAAATCTACACCCCAACTTTACAATCCTCGCACTTCCAAGGAATAGCTTTAACATTGATAACATTGATAACATTGATAGTATTGATGATTTGATGCTTTGCACATTCGAGCTTGAGCCAGACAGCCATGGTCTACAAATAATACCGATCTGGTAATTGGCTTTTATTGAGCCAAACTAGCTAATGTCTTCAAATGTCAACACTTTTCCCACTGATCCCGCGACGCGGGAACCAACGAGTCTCTCACCTCCGCCAGGTTAGCAATGGCAGCTCTGAGAATGGGACTGCGTTTACAAGCAGACCAGTCACCTCGTGCTCGAGCACAGGAACCATTCAGCCCGACTCAACACCTGTTAAGCTTCCTGTCGAGAGGCGCTGCAACCTTTGGACACACGATGAGACTTTCTCGAAAGACGAAGTTGTTCTAAACCTGGACTTGTTCCCAGATGTCGAGGCAGGGGAGCTCATGGCTATCGTAGCCCTCAAGATAGACTCTGGATTCCGCGACTTTCAAGAAAAATTAGCTTTAAATAAACCAGATATTGATAGCGCAACAGCTACCGGACGGTTTGGAAGTTACATTTCGAACCAAGCTAGCCATGAACATCGTTGGAAAGGCTCTAAGCATGAAGCGGGCTTTGGTAAACGTTATTTGTTCCTTGCAAAAGATATGCCAAAGGAGCTGAAGTTGAAACAGCCCTCGTTGGAGGTATCCCTTGCTAAACCAATCGCTGATTTATTCAATTTGAAGCATCGTTCAAATGTACTACTATGCACAGTACGTTCTACAAACATTTCGCCCCAAATTCACTACTAATAATGATGGTCCACAGGCCGATTCAGCTACCAGTTCTGCGTCCCATGTGGAGATGTCGTTCAAAGATCAATACCTTGCTCGATCAGACATGTGGAGATTGACTGTGGGCGAAATGGTGGACAAGGCCGTCTACAAGGGACAAAAGATTTTGTTCATGGGTACCATCAAGGCACAAGTTACTTCTGTTTACATTGGTGGTCGAAAGGTGGAGTCTGCCTTCTTCTCGGCAACCACCAAACCAATTTTCCGGAGCGAGTCGGCGCGTTATGTGCTTTTCATTCAGATGTCAAGGGAGATGTGGGATTTTGACTCCGAAGGCTCAGGAGAAATAATGTTCAACAAAGTGGTGAATGGCTTTCTACCAGCATTGTTCAAAAAATGGGTACAGCTCAAAGTGAAGCATTTAGTCAGCATAGTCTTATTTACAAGAGTCGAGTACGACACTGGATTGGCTTCAGAATTAGCAAGATCATCCCACGACACCGCTTACCATACGGGCGTGCAGACTGATGGTAATAAGAAGCCATATAAGGATTTTTATCGAGTTGTAGTCAGTGAGATGGCCAGCGGAGAATGGACAACGATTCTCTATCAGTTGAAGCGCGAGTTTAAATTCTTTCGAAAAGATATCTCTATGCATCGGATTGAGTTAGTCACAGCCTCTGGGGCGCCGTTCTCAGCCACAAATAAAGGCACTCTTGGAACACGCATCGAGGCCGAGCCATCGCTTGCCATGCATGGAAATGTTCTCGAAGCAATCGATCTCGCATCGACCCAATTCGCACATGATTATATTGATCGAGACCTTGTTAGGACTGGAATATCCATCGTCGTTGTAACTCCCTGTGCTGGGCTCTTTGAAGTAGATTATGAAACTCTCCGAAAAACCACTGAAAGTCTCATTGGTAACGGCATCGGGATTGACCTAGTTTGTCTCCCAAAAATGCCACTGCACTCTGTGCCTCTTTTTCGATACAGAAATCCTAGATATGCTCCATTTCAAGAGGCATTACATTTCAAAGCTCTCCGCAGCGAGGACAGCACTCCGCGTCAGACAGCTCCTATTTTTGGAAGTTATTCATCCCTAAATGAATCGCTTTCGCCGCCTAAGGTTCGTGATAGAGCTTTTCAAAACCCATCGTTCAATAATCGACATGACCCTAGTGAGTGGAGCTATGCAATACCGCACTGGATTGATGTATCTTTTTGGACTGGGGCATCCCAAGATCTCCTATCTACTCATCCTCTAGCTGATTCGAGCTTCTTCAAAAAGCGAATAGCCGAATCCTCTAGCGATTTTGCAATACGTTGTAAGATGTACGAAATGGAAATGGCAAGTGTCATGGAGAATGCGATGACTGAGATTGCTGTTCCGCCTTTACAGCTAGATGCAGTCTTCCCTCAAATGGTAATTCAAGAATTACGTGAATCTGCCGGTCTAAAGAAACATCCTTATGCTTGGGAACGCGTGAAGCTGCAGTTCAGTCTCTCGGAATTTGTTAATGGGCCGTCAAAACCTATACTTGATCGACATGCTACCCAAGCCGAAAAGAAATTCGTGAGGGCACTTGATGCATACGACGTTAACCATTCTGAAATAATGGAAATTTTCAATGGGCCGCAACAGAAAAGTTCGAGTTCACCTTTCAAACCAGGAAGTGAGGAAACTGTGCGCAAGGTTTTTCCAAATGATTCTAAATTATTTGGTACCTCTTTCACCGATGATAGTCCAAATCCAAGAAGCACGAACATGCTCGCTGGAGAAAAGCTTGACAAGGAGAAACAAAGCTTGCAGAGAAATGATCCTGTGCTACCACGTAAGAGCAGTGTAAGTAATGCCATGCCTGCAACAAAAGCACCAGCTGTACGGCCCACAAAATTGAATCGACAAATTAGCCTTGGCAAGTATGGGTTTGGCATCGCCGCGCCTAAGGGTGTCGCAGCTGAATTACACACCGAGAATGCCAGTGCCGCGAAACCAGTTTCTACTACGTCGAAAGAATCTGATTCAAGGAAGAAATCTACTTTTACTATGACAAACCATCTGCTTAACGCTCCAGTAAACCAAGACCGACCGCCATCTTCGAATAGTGAAAGGTCAAAGATGAGGTCTGATAGCAGTTCCATCGAAAGCAAACGAACAATTGAGCTGGAGGCAGAGAAGAGTCCTTCGATACGCCCCATGACCATCAAAAGCGCACTTCAGTCTCTAGATTCAACAAACCAGTTCAAATCTAGATCCGTCTTGAGCTCTTTCTACGAAGGGAGCAGGGGTGATGAAGATGAAGACAGGAATTTGCAGCTGCAGAGAACCAATGACAATCAAAAACTCTGGAATTCGAAATTGCTAGCAAACGCTGTTCCGGAATTACCATCTACTTTATCTCCAACTACTGCCTTATCGCCATGGCTCAGTGTGCTGAATCCCTCCAATCCCACAGATACTGATGCAATGGGGAAAACCGTCTACAGAAGATGGCAACATGTTTTCCCTAAGCCAATCCGCACTAGAACAATGAAGTGGAAATCCCTCTGTTCCCCTGCATCTGTCCCATTGACGACTGAATCATTTCCAACAAAGTTTCAACTCGAAACTGAATATCAACAAAAGCCATACAATATCTCACAAAATTTCGAGGATGAGCTCAGCGAGGACCCGAACAATAGGGAAGACTTTCTGAGAGAGCTAATCAGCTTACGACTTTCCCAGGGTTTTCAGATCGTTATTGGTCCAGCTGTAGCTGAGGCATTTGGACAAAAATCGTTGAAGATCGCGAATGTGTTTGACCGTGATCGTATCGCCGAAGATGGAGCCAGCGTATTCATGTCAATGGGCAACATAATTCACCAATTATCATGCGTGAATGGTACCGAGGTTGAAGTTAATATGTTTGTCCGGAAACCAACAGCTTTGACTACACCTAGCCCAGGAACTTTGGATCCATCCGGGTACTATCCGGCAATTCAGACAACTCTGAGTGATACCTACGTATCTCGCAGAATGACATTAGGGCGGTCGAAGGATGAATATAATTGGAATTACGTAGATTCCTTCATTGCGGGTTTCGAAGACGACATGACCGAACATCTCCGATTCTGGCGTGCAAGGTTTGTGCTGATTCCTGTGGCGCGCCCAACTCAATCACGACGTGACAATATGAGAGGTGAGGACAATGAGGAGGAAGTCCGGCTAGAAGGTATCAGGAAGCTCACTCAAATGTGGCAAAGCCACAGATATGTTCCATCTTCAGAGAGACGTTTCCAGAGTCTTGCTTCTAGGAAAATAAAAGATTCCAATCCTCTCGATATCGTGTACAAGACTGAGGATCCATCCGTTGTTGTTAGCGCAGAACTCGAAACTTTACCTCTCGTTGAGAGTAGTGAAAATACCAGCAGACGTGGGCAGTTACTAGAAACGGATCGTTTTCGAAAATCAAAGCTTGATGTTGCCGCCTTGGCGGAAGCTATTCAAGCACCTGTCGAAAAGGGTGGTGTTCGCATGCAGAATAGAAGATGGCACTTTCGCCTTCATTACAACTGTTTCATTGGCTCGGATATGACGACCTGGTTGCTTGAGAACTTCGAGGACATTGAAGATCGTGATCAAGCGGTTGAGTTAGGCAACTTGCTTATGGTCGATGAGACTCATAGGCTGAGAGAGAAGGATCTTGGCAAAGACAGAGATAGAGATGCAGGAATATTTGTCCATGTTGAAAAACGTCATCCTTTCAGGGATGGACAATACTTCTATCAAGTTACTGGAGAATTTGCTAAACAGCGACCAGATAGTCGTAGTGGTTGGTTCGGTTCTCGAAGACGTGAAAATTCTGTGCCTTCGACACCGATGTCAGATGTCATGCCTAAAGACTCTCCACGGCCAGATAGAGCGAGATCTAGCTCCACGCAAGACGATAGTTCAAATGATTCAGGTGTGCAAACCCCAACAACAAATGGTGGGAAAAGACCCAAGGTCTCTCTAAGTAAAGTTATGAAGTATGATGTCGACCATCGAAAACGTTCTTATCGTCCCGAACTTATCAATCTTCACTATGATCGTCTTCATAATCCTGACAATTGTTACCACATTCGGATTGATTGGCTCAATGTTACAGCTAAGTTGATTGAAGATGCCATACACACGTGGGCAACAACTGCAGAACAACACGGCCTACGACTAGTCGAAGCACCAATTGGCGAGGCATGTTCTATTGCTTCAGTTCATCCATTCAGGAGCCCTTACTTGATCGAATTATCATTGCAGCCTCCGGATCAACAGCCACAAACATACTTTGATGTCAATTCATTCACCCCGCAAGTACAAACTGCCCAGTCTAATCGACATTATTACCAAAAAGCGATCATGAAAAAATTTAATTTCGTTCTTGATATTGAGGCAGCGAAGAACTTTCCAAGCAATGTTGATGTGACATATTCATGGGGACGACCTGATTATACCTATACCCAGTACATTCATAGATCCGGGGTTTTACTTGCTCAAATTACGGATGAAGGTAATTTTCTTCTTTTAGCGAATCGACTGTACAATAATAGGACGGCATCAGCTAGAGAGTCAGACAAATATATGAAAGTGGATCATACCGGCGTCACTCGGGTGGGACCGAGTCCAATAGCGAACAATGCCGGCATTGCCGCAGGCATATCTAGTCCATTTCAATCACCAATCCTACGCGCGGCCCATGCCCCTTCTCCTCTTCTCCGTGCGACTCACCCCCTCTCTCCTCCTTTACGGGCGACAGCTGATGTACTAGGTCCTTCTCTCCCCAATTCAAAATTAGCTACCACTTGTAGCATTAATCCCGACATCATCAAAGCTGAACTAGAAGAATTCTGTCACGATAGCTGGAAGTTGGAACTTTTTTATAAAGAAGTTTTTGAAAAAGTGACACCACCTCATGCGACGCCACCAACTCTAAGAAGCTCATACCCTGCTATGTATCTTGATTCGAATATCCCGACATTAGGACTACCGCCGGGGATTTTGGCGAGGGATGGCAGGGATAGCAGTCCGACACCGATGAGGTTGGAGCGGGTCCCAGGAATAGGGAGTAGTTTGCCGATTCTTGGGAGAAGACCCAGTGTGCAAATGAGTATTGGGACTAATGCGAGTGATACGTCGAGGCAGGAAAGTCCGAGGGGGAGTATAGCTGAAGGTTAATGTGTTTGAAAAATAATAGGTTGATACTATAAACTGTCCGCTGGAAATCATGGGGTTTTAGGACATCCGCTCATCAGGGGTATACGCATGTTATTGGAGTCGCGGGCATACCAATTTAGAATTTAAAGGTCACTTGCTGCGTAAATAGAAAGATCTATGGAACTGGCAAATAGCACTATCTATCAGTACCCAGACCCCGGCGCCATCATCATCCACTATGTGCCAGAACTGGGGGGAAGCGTTTGTAGAAAGTCAGCATTGGAACTACAATGGGTCGATGAAAAAGTCTGTGGATAATGAGGTCGAAGAAAATAAACATTAAGCTCGTCAGAAATGATCATTGTTTCAAGGAACCAAGAACAATGCGTATAGAAAATTTGGACAACGGTTGTAGGATAAGTATGGCAGAAGCTCAAACAGATTAAGGATGGGGAAAGAGGCGAGTACCCATTGGTAGATAAAATGGATGGAGGAGAATGAATGATAAAGAGGAAACAAGAATCACACTTCGCTTTACTTTCAATACCTTACTCCCAACTTCTAACTTCCAACTCCCAACTTCGCTCTAAACTCACTCACAAACTTCACTCACAAACTTCACTCACAAACTTCACTCACAAACTTCACTCACAAACTTCACTCACAAACTTCACTCACAAACTTCACTCACAAACTTCACTCACAAACTTCACTCCCAGGTACTCCATACCCATTAGGTTGGCCGATGCCCAGCTGGAAAATTTCAATCACATCAACCCTAACCCAAAAAGGAATAGCATGTTTTTTCAATGTCCATTGTCCACATTCTGTTTCTGATCTGATTTTATCGCGTAATTCTCCACCCCTTTCAGCTCCCAAAAACATACATCACTTATCAAAAAAAGGTGTGTGGTTACAACAACAACCGGCGTGATCCTGGCAGAGGAGGAAGAGGAGACAGAAGAGAAAGTAACCACAAAAATAATGGATCTAATAGATCATCGAGCCAAAATTGGCAGTACCAAATGGAGGTGCAAATTTTGAATTTGCAGGCTCAGTTACGAGCGCAGACTACGCTGACTGAAAACTAGCAGAATTCTGCTATGCAAAGAGAATTTCAATCATCATTAGCTGATCAATTCTAGGAGCGCTAGCAGTCCAAAGTGCCTGCTCGGAATCTTGCTATGCAAGGGGGAGTTCCGTCTTCAGTTTTTCTGGATTTGGAGCCCTGTCTGTTCAAGGCGGCTTCTCAAAATCGGGAAGCCCCGCCACCTCCAGTTGATCAATTTCCACAAAATAAATAACAGTCCAACTCGCCGATGCAAAATCAAGAGATACCATGCAGCAGGAGAGAAATGAACAACAATTGTGTGAACGCAGATGCGGCAATTGTGGCTGACTGGGCATATTTTGAAGAAGTGCATGGGCCTAGTGACGCAGTCTGGTCATATCGATGGATGTCCACTATGCAACACGGCGCAGCATACGTTTATACAATGAACCGATCCAAAAGTCAAGTTTAATAACGGTGAGCTTCGGCATTTACTACTCCAATGCAGGGATAATGGTTCACCCCTGAGATTTCCGAAGGATTTTCGCACAGAATAGTTGTGGCAGCTTGAACTTGACCGCGCTGAGCAGGCTAATGAAGAGCCGTCTCGCCCTTGGTCCGTGGAGTTCGCAAAAAGGTATCAAGAAGAAAACCTACATTATGTATTGGAAGAAGAGCTTTCTTTACGAAAATGTGATGAGGGATTCCTCGTGGAATGAAAAGAATGGGGTATCATCGTTCCAGGAGATCGAATTGTTGGAAGTGTACAGACAATAGGAATCGCAGTCGCTCTCGTCCACCGGATCGACGCCAAAACAGATATCTCATGCAAAGCCGTGATGCTCGGTTTGATAGATTGGGAGTGGGTTTGTCTTCGTCGGACTTGATTACCAGGGATGTAGATGGTGCTATTTCATCGCGTCTCACATTCAGACAAGGAAGCAGCTCTAAAGAGAGTTTCGGTGCATCTTAATGTTCTATGGAGGATGAATCGTCAACAGGATATGGGCAGAATTTTGAAGGAGAAACTCGAGACCGAGGTCATGATTCAGAGGGAAATTGAGAGATAAGGGGGTGGTAGTGGGTGAGTGAGTAGGGCTGGCAATATGTCTAATATTGTTAGATTGATAGGTACGGCTGTGATGATTGCATGGGAATGTCTTTTATAGCTCATAAATATGGAGTTTATAATACATTACTATTCTATGGACTTTAATTTAGTGATTCTTCAAGCTGTCCCCGCACCGCACTTGTCAATTGCAATGACCATGAGAATGAAGAATTAAGTCTAGTACCCTACTTTTGGACCACCCCTCTTTTGGACCACCTTTTTATAGAGCTTCGTGCTCAAGATCAATCATTTAGTATACTCTACTATTAGTTACGAATTGCATCATTGTCATTACTTAAGTCCTTGCTTGACGCCTAGTTATAAACCACCTCGAGAGCCTAGAGAACTTCCACGTGATCTAGACGGCAAACCTCGTAACAACGTACTGCCGACAACAACAGGGGGATTCTCCTGAAGGACTGGTATTTCTCTTCTTCTTCATAGCCTACTTGCTAATATTGTATTTAACCTTTAAGTCTCTCCTTCTCCGCTTTTCCGAGTCGTGCGTTACCGCTCATTGTGTGAAATTTTACTCTGATAGTAATATACATTACTTTAATATTCCTTCTTTACGGAAAACAAAGCATGGGAACTTAAAAGAAAGGACATGGAAATAGTGCACGGGGCTAATCAATGTTCTTAAATTTCATAGTATTCAAAATATATATACATTAATAAAAGAACAAGAATAAGAATATATAATATTTCACTTCAATTCTCATATAAATAAAATTACAAGCATAAACAAACAACCTAAACGCCATCCATCCTATATCCCCAATAAGCCGGGTCCGTAGACTCACCGGACGATAATCCGCGCCGTACCCAATGCTCGCTTTGCTTATACATATGCAATAATCCCCAAAACTCCTTCCAAATGCCCAGTTTTGTTTTTTGAACGCCAGGATGTATGCCCGTGACTATGCCCGCCTTCCCATATACCATGCCATGCCATGCCCATATGCTGTGCCCATATATATATGTATGCTATCTAATGCTCATATGCCCGCCTATACCGATGTAAGATATGTACCGTCATTAATTAATCATATACCGGCTGTTTCCCAGTCTTCCATCCATCCATCCATCAATATTCTTTCATTTCTCGTTATTTCTGGAATCCTCGATGTTCGTATCAGGCGTTTTGCTCTTTTCTCGATTCTCTTCCGATGACAATCTCACTTGTTCGAGTTCCTCCATGGAAATTGAAAATTCCTCCTGCACAGGCGACATGGCCGTTACTCCGGCCACGAATCCAATAGTTCCTAATCCATCTGCCCCCTCAACATCCCACCAACTCCTGGCACTTCTCCCTCTATCCACCGTCAACCCATTACTCGCCTGCGCCTCGAATCTCCTCTGCGCAAGCTCCTCATCTCTTCTCTTATATGCCTGTCTCGCCTCCCTAGCCATTTCGTTTCTCGTCTTTCCTGGTCCATGTCCCTGTCTCTCCTTCCCTTTCCCTACAAAAATAATCCAAAACTTTAAACTCCCGAAAAAACTCCCGCTGGTTCCGGGGATATGTTTCCATGGTTTTTCTCGGGTGGAAAATAACCAACAATCTACTGCACCCTGTCCACAAATAAAGACTGTGCTTAATGCACTGAGTGCAAAAGGTGGATTAACTGCGAAATGATCGTTGAATTGAAGAATGTGAAAGATAAATGGTATGAGCCACATTCCTAAGTAAACTAAAGGGTAGATAAAGAGAAAACGGAGTTGGCGACGGATTTTTTCCCGAGTACGTATCATTTCTGATACAGCGAAACCTTGGCCATTAGGATTAGGAAGATGCATATCGTAAAAGGATCCTCGTTCTCCTGATTGAATTTGATGCTGAAGAACAGTTGGTGGTACGTAGAAGGAAATATTTGAGTCGAAAGATAATCGTCGGGAAAAACTATCTCGCCAGGTACTTCGAAACTGAGGTGCGGGCAATGGATTGTGTGTTTGTTGTGGCATGGGGAGTGCTGTAGTCATCATCTCTGATATGGGTTGTGATGTTGAGGCTCTAGCATATGAGTCGGTAGAAATCTCGGATGGAGGAGATGTGGAGTGAGCTCGATTATGAGAGTGGAACACTGAGGTCCACATGAATTTGTGAGCGTGGTTCCTCATATTTGCAATCGAACTTAAAGTTGATGCCGATCGTTTCCTTCCTTCAGCAATATATATAGCGGCAGGGCGTCTTGGTTCATTGGTAAGTCCATTGAGAGAAAGAGGTGGAGGCGGTATACTCCTTCGTACATGGCTTCGTCGAGTCCTTTCAGTCGAATCAAAACTATCTTGAGAACGGGTATTCTCAAATCCACGGAACCTAAATCGAACATAGTAATATATCGAAGCATATACAGTGAGAATTGTGACAAAAATAATGTAGCGAGGAATCCAACCCAAAGCCAGTTGATACCAAAAAGGTCGTACTGGTAAATAACAGTATGTTCCTTGGGCAACATAAGCTTCACGATTATTAACAAAAGCAAGAGATGCTGCTAATAACGGAAACAATATCCAAATGGTGTATGCGATCTTACGATATGGATAGAGACCCCCTTCACCAGCCGAGGATTTAGGTTTAAAAATATATAATGCGGTATGTACGGCAACCATCAGGACTGAAATATCTGTACTCGAGTTAATGAATGTTGATATACCCACGGAATAGTATATCGAACCTGAAGCTTCAATACCGACAGCCAGAAAAAATCCACTAATTTGACAAAATTTAGAATTATCTGCTACAGGACCATGTAGAAAGACAACGATTGGAAAGACCATAAACCATAAAGCTTTGAACATATCACTTTGAATTAACAGCATGATAAGACTAATCGGGTTATCAGTGCATGAACATAAATGGAGGGGTAGATGTAGATGGGTGGGTTATCCTTACTCATGTCTGAATGAACGTCTCATTCTCACGAACCAATAAAACGCTAGCAGTGAAGAAGCAACACTGACAGTTGAAAAAGTCAATGCAAGTTTTTGGGAAAGGTATCCTTCTGACTCGGATATATTTTGTCCTTGATTTGTATTATCTCCAATACTCCGGGGAGAATTTGGAAGCATGCTTCTTGCTATGAGTACTGGAAGAGGCGCCATTGGGAATATGGCATCTGGGTCTTTCGTCTGAAATTGAGGGGGAGGGGAGGATGGAGGGGAATTTCGTTTATTTTATGGATCGGGCTTTTCCTTCCAACTTCTAAATTCCTCCAACATGATCACCAGCGTGGTTTTACACCATTATCGTGATATCCTGTATATGCTTTCGAGGTTGTTTTATATCGTATGTCGTACAAAGATTGGTCGCACAGGAACGTTAACGTCAAAAGTATGGATAGCTCGTAGACTTGGAGTAATGTGCCGAAACCGAAACTGTCGATGTATATATTCCGAGACTGGTGAATGTATTGCAGTACTTTCTCAAGATGATATACGTTTTCTTCGTGAAATTTAATCGGCGGTTGGCGTAGTGGGTATTTGAATTCCTTCTTAAAAGGCTGGTCGGAAAGGTGGGCGAAAGAAGCGGTAAAAGGTTCTCTTGGGTTGGATTTGTGCATATACTCTCCTATTATGAGAAAGTATTTCGTATTTTTGGAAAGGAAAAAGTGTAAAAGAAGGTAAGAACATCAAGTGCATCCAATTGTGAAGTATGTATAATGATTGCATGTGGTGAAGTGCCTGCAGATAGCAATTGAGACTTTGTTCCATATTGAGATGTGTAATTGTTGGGTTTTTTTCACTCCCATTTAGCTGTCGATCATTTGAATCCAACACGAGGAGAATGATTGACGCCGACCTACGGTATGATGGAGCACCTGACTACTTACAACTATTTAAACCAAGACCTTCCTCATAGCCTTTGAGGGCCATTTAGATGAAGCGGGTATTGGGAAGTTTGGAGCCATTCATTTGAAAAATCCGAAAGCTATGTAGATCGGTAATATCAATAGTTTCCCCAAATATTTGTTTGGGAAGAAAAGCAAGTCATGTAAGGGAAAGCATGCGCGCAACGCGGCACTGTAGTGATTTAGGTCCTTTAGAGTCCGGTTTCCAAAGCTCACCGAGTATAATAAATGATACACTCTTTCCACGTTATGGTATTCGGATCAATGAACCTGTTCTCCTCCTGTCGCTATCTAAGCCCTGCCCTGCTTCCAACATGCATAAAAATTCGCGATGACGACTTGACTAAGCATCGAGTACGGTCTTATTATCGAGAAATCCATAAAAGATCCCATCCCCACTGTCGATGCTTTTCTCTGAAATGAGTTCGTAGGGGCTGTGTGGTTCCGCTACAAAAGTTTACAGCCACCAAAATACTTTACCGAACTTCTACCCCGATGCTGCACGGTTCATGAAAGGGTTGAAGTGAAGTTTTTTTTATCTCCGATTGTCAGGGGTGCATTGGATTGGAGTAGAAAAGCAGTTTGAGCCCTGGGAGTTTGACAAAGGTCCACGAACACGAATCCAAGAAAAATATAAGCTTCCACATTCAAGTATCTAATCAATATCCTTATCGGCAAAATCTTGGAAGCGTAACTGGGATACACAGATCCAGATCATAAATCATCTGATATTCGTACATGATATTACACCACCAACACCACCTAATCCCACATCCATCACGAGCGATGATATAACATAAACACATTTCCCATGATGTTCATCATTCGCCAACTCGAACACCTCATCAGCCGGGAGGCACCAGGTGGATTTTTCCAAGCTCATGTGGCCATGGCATTGGAATGAAAATCCTGAAAAACTTCTTCATAATTTGCGCCCATCACCCGCAAGTTCCGTTCACCGACACTGTTCGATCCTTTCCCTGCCCAACTAAAGTGGACAAGTTCGCGTGAAAGAGAAAAGAGTTTGTCGTGAAAACAACGCAACATCTGACCTTGACCGATTTTATGCAGTTCAAATGCTCCTAATGCACTGCGACCCCGCATGGATATTTTCATATCCTTGGACGCGCCGAATCGAAGGATCGTGAGGAGATTAGTATTAAATGGGTCCATCACGTGAGCGATATCTCCTCACCGAGTTGATGAAGGATGCAGAATCTAGATTCTCCGCAGGAATTCCAGATTCTGAGCCGTTTTTTGTCTCACGAACAAATATGTATGACTCGGCAATCTTCTCATGTTGTATGTATCAAGACGTCTTGACTTTCAGATGGATGTGGTTCGTGTGCTTTCCCAATTTGATTAAAACTATATGGAACCTCCATCAAACTGCTGGCGAATCGTGATGATCGTGGCGATACCCGTTCTTCGGTGATGAAAGTACTTGAACTTGCTCGATGGGTTTGATATGTTCTATCCGACTGCCGGGTTAGGCGAGCTGAACCTCGTTTTAAGTATGATCCCATGCTCAAGCTTGCTTCGTCAAAATCCATATCTCGAGTATCATAAGTATGGTAAGATCGATGATAATACGAGGGTGGATTAGACGATTGTCCAAATGACGATCTCTGATTTGACGATTGAAAACTTAGATATGATAACGGAAGCATCCTTCTGGATTTTTTCATATCATCAGTTATTTCTATTGTTTCAGCCATGGGATCCGTTATATCCCCAATGCTGAAAGATTGTTCGGGTTGTTTGGTTTCTACTTGAAATGGATGTGTTTTAATCGTAGTAGGATTGTGATCTGATAATCTGTATAAACTTTCATCCGAAGGACGCGTCCAATGCCCGAACAGAGATGGAAGAAATTTGCAGAAAAATGGCTTCGTCGCCGGTAGTGCGGTACATATCTAGGGTTACCAAGGTCAGTACCATAGATTAACTGGAGTGAGAAGACAGCAGAGCTAAGGTGAGGAGGGTCTTACTGTCCCTATGAATAGATTCAATACACTGGATATCCATAATGGGTACGAAAACCAAGTTCTATCATAAGATGCAAATACTGCGTATATGTAATATATTCTGACAACACCCGCAGCACAGACAACCAAGCCAGCAGCGAAGAGAAGACAGAGCATAAATTGTTGGCGGAAGGGTATGGGAAGGCTAAATACCGTAGGTATCGGTAGAAAGAAAACAAAGAAATCGGTGCAAGTATTGATTACAGCGCTGGAAAGTCAGAGAGCTAGTTCGTCGACACATATTTGAGCTGAGTAGGTTACGTTCCAGTTGTCTGTCACAGGGGTATTGTTATATTAGCACGTTTCGATATCATCCAGTCATTGTAACCATACCTGCAATTGTTGATGATAACCACGTCAAAAGCGATTGCTTCACATGCCACTATTGCAATCATCGCAATGGATAAATTTTTGAGTAAACCTGTTCCTCTAGACATGACCCGCATTACCAAGATGAGCAGAGAGATCTTTGTGAGTGCAACAGCGAGTCCAAATAAACATTCTAACACCATGTTCAACTTAAGTCCAAACTCAGCATAATCTGGTGTGATATCCCAAACATGACGATTCCATTTCCAACGTTCCTGAGCGAGAAGTGCAAGAATAGCGCATGCTGAAGTTGGAACGACGGAGATTAATAGAAATACATCATCAACTCCAAAATGTTTGGATAGATATAGCCGAGTAAAGGTCCGAAGGCCAACCACAATGTACACAACGGGAAGAAAAATAACGGTGATTATAAGAAGTGCAGGTCCTCTAGTTACCGGGTCGATGTAGTTAGGTTGTGGAAGGGCAGATAGGACTTGAGGCGAAGGAAGTTGCATATTGGAGGATCGTTAATTATTGAGCCAGCAATGAAGTAATTCTAATGCTACCTGCTCGGCGAGGGAGGAAAAGAGAAATGACTTTAACTTAATATCAGCGCAGTTCACATCATAGCTTGGACCCAGTCTCCTATGTGAAATTGTCTTGCATCTTAAAAGATCTATGACTTTGCGTTAGAAGGCCGAGAACCATGTTTTACCGGATCTTCGGTTGATAAGATGAGATAATTCACGATAAATTCGCAGATGAACGGGTCTATCAATAGCAGGATGAAAATTAGTTCATCTACCGGTAGGGGTTTTACGAACGCTCAGATGTTATTCGGGATACTAAACCCGTCGGGACATAGGTTGCTCATAAGTGTGAGTGCTCGGATAGTTTGAATGAAGAGTTTCATCAGGAGGGGAAACTCTCTTTAACCATATGAACTAAACATGGTTGAAAATAGAAATTGAACAGAGCTCATCCATCCGACAAAGTTTTAGCTTTCCTTGAGGAGTAGAGCTGATCAGGAGAATCGACGGACTCGAAATTGACACTTTCTAAAGTGGAAATTAGGGTTCATCTAGTGAGTACTTCTACTGTCACTAGAAGCCTTATGAAATGACAAGTTCTTGAAACTCAAGAGAAGAAGCAAAAAGAAAAATCGAGTGGGTGATTGGCGGACTTGAGGGAGATTGCAAGGTCTCGAAGCTGTCTGTGCATTATTATGTAAGCCAAACTAGGAAAACCACCTCGATAGCCAGTCTAGCATATGACATATCCAGCTTCCGTAGCACGAGAACCTTGGTCAGATGAGGAAGTGTAGCAATGGTATCTCAGCGTCGATAGATTTGCAGTTTCATTCCCACCAACGCTCCATGACTCTGAAATTTAGGGGTCCATTAAGTCATAAGCTTCTGCACGGTATACTCTGCATCATTGCGCAGCTGCAAATTGCAACTTGGCAGCTATTACAATCAACCTAGCATGGATAGTCGCCATGGCAATTTAAGGTCCTCAAAGTACGGAAGTCCACGGAGTATGAACTCATGGTACTAGTACCTCGTTCTGCAAACGCGAAAAGGCCACTCATGAGTCACATGATTAGTGCATTGGCATCACTTGATAAGTTACATCTGTTGCTATGTGGGAAAGCAGTATTGGGATATATTGAACTTTTCTACGATGGTAGTTAATGCAACAGTACTTCTGTACGCTTAAATCGCTTTGAGAGTGAAAAGTTCAGATCACATGACCTGGTTTTGACATCAAGCTACCTAGTTTATTGCGAAGTATTGTGCTATAAAGAGCCAGAATAATGAGAGAGTATTCAGCGGCTGACTCTTCGTTCAGATGTCGTGAAACTACGTATCAATCGATTAAGAAAAATAATAAAATGCACACGGTGCTATTGTGGCAGGAGTCCTTGAAGCAGATCAGTAGCCGTCAATAGCTGACAACGTGGACTGCTTGTATCAAATAACATACGAAAAAGTTCTAAAAGCTTTCAAAGTAAGAGAGACTTGTAGTTTACAACACCTTTGAAAAATTACAATATGGAAGAAGACACGTCCTCGACGCAAGTCAAACATAACCTTTACGAGGATGTATTACATACGATTAAAATAATATCTTCTTCAAGCCAAAGCTACAAAACAAGGGTCCATGATGAGTTTCGTTCATCATACGAGCTCTTCTACAACCACTCACGATACAAGAATTTCCCAGAATCTCGTAGAAAATAGCCTCGACTGTACTGTAGGGGCACCGTCGGCATTCCGTGGACATAACTTCGGCATATTATACGCTAGTTACCATGAGAAAAGTTTTGTTGGTATGCAAGAGACTTTACACGCCTCATCAACGCATGTACTAAGACGCGATCTCATATTTCAGCAACCGCCGATGGAGGGCAAGGATACAAGACACGGCGAAAATACAAAATGACAAGACATGGATCCTCAGCGGAGAACACCAATGCCATCTGAAGAAGTGAAAGAGGGCATGAGACACAGTATGGCTGATCTTAGTACAACTATGTCATCACCAAGAGATGGAGTGGCTCGCAGTTATGGGAGGATTTTAACCCAAAGACCATACTACACAAGATTGATTCTTATCGATGGCGCAATGCCATTCTTTCAGACGGCGGAATGCTGTGTTTCATGGATGCAGTATCTTTATCGAGAGGAATTCTTGATACTCGGTTAATGCTTATTTATATGGCATAAAACCATTCAAAAGGTGGAAACCTTGGCAAGTGGAATCCTTGATAATGGCATATTCTATGGATATAAGGTCCTCTCAAGAGCAATTCTTTATACTGGTGATGGAATGCCAGAATACTATTCATAACAATGAAAGATCCTTGGCGGGTCTATGGTCCCTGCCAAATTCATGTACATACTCGATACTAGATAGTTAACACGCAATGTCAAGTGACTGGTTTGACTCTTTACGAGTATTTAAAGTGGATTATTTGGATTCGGAGATTTTTTATTATATGAATGATTACTCCATCCGGATCCAGTCCTTCATACTCTCTAATCCTATTGTAAGCGCGTCCAACTAAGCTCACAAGCAACCCACCCTTTCCTTCCAATCCGCCTATACCCACGTAAATATAACCTCCATCCGACATCTTTCCAATTTTCCTGGCGTTTCAATCACACTTTCAAACTCTAACTCTATATCAAAGTGCCGCTGCTTCCGTTACAGAAATTGCTGGCGTCACGATAATTACAACCACATCGAACGCTATCATACACGCGTACGAAAGCGAAAACGGTTATCTACCCAAAGCGGAACACGTCATCAGTGTGATAAATAAGACAAGAGAAGATATTATGAACAATCCAAGTCCAGCGCAGAGAGCAACTGGTCTCCAAACACATAAACGAGGTATATTCTGTAGATCTATACTAGTACTTGCTTACAGAAGATCATCACATAATTCATTTTTGAAGCAGCTTGAAAGCGCACACTTCATATATTGGTGTGATAATCTTAATTTTTCTATTCCCTTAACACCTCTATTTATACAGTCCATCGTTCATGGCAGGAGTATAGAAAGATATTAAAGTCCTTCATGATGGGAAACAAGTAGCTGAGCACAGTGCATCATTTAGGTAGACTCAAGAATCATATCGATATCTATATCATGATCAATACATAGATAGATACCCCAGGTAACCAACATCTAATAAAAAGCCATGCCATCCAATCAGGCCATTACTCTCCGAAGTCCTTGATTTTGAATTCGCTTGGCGATATAGCTTGAGATGAATGCCAATGTGAATATGAATACAAATATATCAATCCATATCATAACATAGCAAAAACTACACCTCATACCCACTCTGCCCAACATCCGCCTCGAGATCTTCCAAGTAAACACCTTGAGAAACCAGAAGCCCAGAAGACCATAGCACACAAAGAAAAGTCTAAGATAATCGATATCATCGAGCAGCTCATACATATCATGATGAACACTAGGAGAGAATGACATATTTATCCGTCTACAAGTAAGCTAACTTTAAGCGTAAATAAAAGATTACCCACTGGTGGATTTCCCAAAACAAAACCAGCAATGAAAGAAAAGAAAATAGACATGAAGCGAAATAAGGATGTAAAACTACCTGTCAAAAGTTCAAAACTAAGATTACAATAATTTCTGAATCCACACAATCAATCTTCCATACACATAGAGTATCCGCACTTCCACTATTCCCACTAAGTTAACATAAACACAATAAATAAGATAAATCTTACATAACTCCAAAAAGTATTTCAAGAATCAAATCCGCATACCATCCCAACCTGCACAATCCTAACCTCCACCCCAACATCCTTCCCCATCTTCTCCATCTCAGTCTTATCAAGAACCCCCCTCCCATCAAATATCCACCTCGGAGCTTTCATTCCCACGATAATTTTTTTCCAGTCGATAGTTTGCGCTTCTTTTGTATGTAATCTTATCTTCATATTATACCTCTGCTCGCTTTGCTCGCTCCACTTGCATTTCGGGCAATTTTCCTCGCAGGTTGGTTCGGGATATAATATTCCTAGTGGATCGTCTTTCTCTAAATTAGAATGAGACGTTGATGATATGTAGTTTCGTAGATTTAATAAATCGATTTCTGATGGATGATTTGGAAATGGTCTTGGATCTTCTAGTTTCGAGGTTGCGTTTGTAGGAGATGTTTCTAGTTCCCTACAAATTAGTACTGCATCTGCCTCTTCACACGCAGTGTACAAATTCTCTTCGACTATTGCTCCCTCAAACCCATTCAATTCCTCCCTCAGTATCTCACTCCCACACCCATCATCCCAAACCACAATAAATTCCGGTCGTTCCTCTATCAACATTCTCACCACCTCCCCCGCCAAACTCTCCCTCACATCCCCTGTTCCCCTCTTAAAAGCATACCCCAAAACCACTATCTTCTTCCCCCTCAAACCACCCCCCAAAGCCCTCACAATCCCCTCTACCCACCTCCGTCTCTGCCACTCATTAACCGCAAAACACCATCCCAATACCTCACCACTTCATGCAATCCCCAATTTCTCTGCTAAGAACATCAAACTCTTTAATATCCCTCCCAAAGCAACTACCTCCAAATCCTATGCCGCTTTCAAGTATTTATCCCCAATTTCTAGAATCC